TGTCGAGGGGGCGAAAGTGGGTGTCGAGGGGGCGAAAGTGGGAGTTTAGTAGGCGAAAGTGGGTGTCGAGTGGGCGAAAGTGGGTGTCGAGTGGGCGAAAGTGGGTGTCGAGGGGGCGAAAGTGGGTGTCGAGGGGGCGAAAGTGGGAGTTTAGTAGGCGAAAGTGGGTGTCGAGGGGGCGAAAGTGGGTGTCGAGTGGGCGAAAGCGGGTGTCGAGTGGGCGAAAGTGGGTGTCGAGTGGGCGAAAGTAGGAGTTAAATGGGCGAAAGCGGGTGTCGAGTGGGCGAAAGTGGGTGTCGAGTGGGTGAAAGTGGGTGTCGAGTGGGCGAAAGTGGGTGTCGAGTGGGCGAAAGTGGGTGTCGAGTGGGCGAAAGTGGGAGTTTAGTGGGCGAAAGTGGGTGTCGAGTGGGCGAAAGCGGGTGTCGAGTGGGCGAAAGTGAGAGTTAAATGGGCGAAAGCGGGTGTCGAGTGGGCGAAAGCGGGTGTCGAGTGGGCGAAAGTGAGAGTTTAGTGGGCGAAAGTGGGTGTCGAGGGGGCGAAAGTGGGTGTCGAGGGGGCGAAAGTGGGAGTTTAGTAGGCGAAAGTGGGTGTCGAGTGGGCGAAAGTGGGTGTCGAGTGGGCGAAAGTGGGTGTCGAGTGGGCGAAAGTGAGAGTTAAATGGGCGAAAGCGGGTGTCGAGTGGGCGAAAGCGGGTGTCGAGGGGGCGAAAGTGGGTGTCGAGTGGGCGAAAGCGGGTGTCGAGTGGGCGAAAGTGGGTGTCGAGTGGGCGAAAGTAGGAGTTAAATAGGCGAAAGCGGGTGTCGAGTGGGCGAAAGCGGGTGTCGAGTGGGCGAAAGTGGGTGTCGAGTGGGCGAAAGTGGGTGTCGAGTGGGCGAAAGTGGGTGTCGAGTGGGCGAAAGTGGGAGTATTAGTGGGCGAAAGTGGGAGTTTAGTGGGCGAAAGTGGGTGTCGAGTGGGCGAAAGTGGGAGTTAAATGGGCTAAAGTGGGAGTTTAGTGGGCGAAAGTGGGAGTTTAGGCCGATACCCACTCGGCCTAAATCGGAGCTCCGTACAGGGCCATGGAGTGAACGACCGTCGCGTATAATCGCCTGACCCTGACCTGCGGTCCGCGCAGGTTCGGCATCAGGCGTCCTAACGTCGCGCTAACGGCTCGGATCTTCGATCCGAGGTGCGCCAGATGTTCCCCGAAGTGAAGGCCGGAATCGAGAACTAAACCCAAGTATTTCAGCGAGCCACCCAGTCCGATTCTTGCGTTGTTCACGGTAACGAGGACGCGGTTTCGCGGACGATGAAACCCGCAAGCTTCCGTCTTCGGCAGAGACACCCGGAGACCGGTGTCCCGGATGGCCTCCACCGTCGCGTTAAGTCCCGTTTCGGCGCGTTCGCGAACCTCTGCCCACCCGCGACCGGTCACTACGAGCAAAGTGTCGTCGGCATAGCAAGTCAACGATACGCCTTCGGGAAGAACGGTCCGGGTGAGGACGCGGTCGTAGGCGATGTTCCACAGGAGTGATCATAGAACCGATCCCTGGGGCACGCCGCAGAACACGTCCGCCCTTCCCGTCGTTCCGTCCGGTTTCTCGTACGCGATCTTCCTCTTCGAGAGGAAGGACCCTATCACCGACACGAGATAATCTGGCACGGACTTCGACGTTAGCCCGTCCCTTATCGCGGACCAAGGTACCGTGTTAAACGCGTTTTTGATGTCGATGGAGACGGCGATCGCGACGCCACCCCGTTGAAGCGTGTCCCGGATTCCGGCGCACACGCGGTCGAGTGCGTCGGTCGTCGAACGGCCCGCCCGGAAGCCGTATTGATTCGGAGAGAGGTCGTTCCTCCCTCCCCCTGATCGTAAGTGTTCGACGATCCGGGACGCTATCACGCGCTCGAACAACTTGCCCTCCACTTCGAGAAGACAAATCGGCCGGTACGCGCTCCGCGTCGTCGGATCCCTACCCGGTTTGTCCAACAGTACCAAGTTTGCTTCTTTCCACGGCGTCGGAAACGTCGCCTCTCGAAAGCACGCGGTGTAGAGCGCCGAAAGACGCGCACACAGTACCCCGACAGACTTGCCGAGAATGCGGTAATGCACGCCGTTCGGGCCCGGAGCCGAGTGTTTCTTCGAGGCCGCGTCGAAGAGGAGACAAACCACCCCCTCCGTCACTTCGGTGTCGCGGTCGCGGTTCGTGCCGTGCGAGAGATCCGGCGGGAAAAACGCAAAAGGCTCGACGCGGGGGTAGAGCTCTGGGATCACTTCGGCGAGAAACTCCTCCGTCATGCCGGCCGTCAGCGGTCCCGTCGAACCTCTCAGTGTGTTGGTCACGAGACGGAACGGGAGACCCCACGGATCCGAATCCGCTTCGCTCAGGAGTTCTTTCCAGCCCGTTTCCTTGAAACTCCATACCGCTCGTCGGACCCGGGAAGCCCTCCACTCCGCCTTTAAACGCGCGAGTTCGTCGTCGTTCGCGATGTCCTCGTAGCGTCCTCCCCGTTTGATCAGTTGTCTTTTTTTTTTTTTGTGGACCGCACGCACGTCTTGACTCCTTTTGCGTTCCACACGATGAAATGACGCTCGTCTAACCACTGTCTTAACAATCGGCCGCGCGCGTTAGTCGCGTAACCTGACCACGATGTGTGTTTCGCGTTGAAGTCCCTGGACACTAGAATCGGACGCGAGTTCCCGAACCTGTCCAGCTTCCTCGAAATCGCCCGTAGCTGATCTTCGAATACTCGTAGTGGACGATTTGGCGACGCGTATACCGATACCACGACCGAATTTCCCCAGCCTGCAATAACGAAGTCGACCCCACGGGATAATTCCCGAGGTCTCGGATCCCGGCGCCGAGCTCGAGAAGAAGATCGCGGTCGCGCCGTCCTCGGATACGAACCAAGTGCCGGCGCGACAACCCCCTCCCCCCGACGGAACGACGTGGGGCTCCGAGATCATCGCGATCTCGACGCCCCACGTCCCTATCAAGGTAAGCAAGAGGTCCTGAGCCCCCTTGCACCTATTCTGATTTATTTGGAGAAACCTCCCCGGCGGAGCCGTTCGTTCCCGGCTGACACGCGGAGGCTGCCCCCCTAACGTTTCCCCCCGTGTTCCTGGTATCCGATCCCCACCGAATGGGCCTACCCCTGACGGCCGGCGCCCCGCACGAAGACCCACCGACCCGATGTTGAGCCGGCCGGCCCGCCTCCGAACAGGGAGCGCAGCGGACTTTGTTTGCGCATTCGCGCGCCCGGTGCCCCTCTTCACCGCACCTGAAGCAGCGGTCCAGCGCCGTTTCACCCCTTTCCCTGATATTGGAACAACGCGAACCTCGGCAGCAGGACCACCCTCGCACGCACCCACCCGACGACAACCGCGCCCGCGTCCAAGAGTACGGACGCGACGGCCGCCGGGACGGATGCGTACGCGGACGAGTAGCGATGTGGGCCTCCGCCGGTCGGGAAGCGCACAGAGATGTCCGATGACGAGCACCCCCCTATCCTAGCTAGTTCTGTCGCGACCATCGACGACGTCGCCGACTCGCAAAGACCTTCCACGCGCAGGTCGACTCGCCTCTCGGGACACGTGACCGTGACCCCCATCGGCCCTGCGACGCTAACCTTGGGGAGTCTGAGTTAACGAGGCGACTTGGTCTTTGCGATATGCTTAAACGCAATGCGAATGACCCATTTTTGAAAGAATGGTCACCAGAGATGAAAAGTGGGTTGTCTTATCGTTAGACATTTTGAGGAAAAAATCCTGGTCTAGGCAAAGGAAAGAGGCACCAACAACTTCTAAGGCTGACTTTCACCAAAAAAAAAAAAAGGTACTGTTATCATTTTGGTGGGATTACAAAGGCATAGTCTACTTTGAGCTGCTGCCATCAGACAATTGACTAATTTGAATAATGTCATCCAAGAAAAACGACCGGAGCTAGCCAATATCAAAGGAATTGTCTTTCATTACCATAATGCCCTCCCCATCTTTAGCCACTGGACAAAAACTACTGGAGCTAGGCTGGGATGTTTTGCCGCACCCTCCTTATAGTCCCCACCTGGCTCGAAGTGAGTATCATTGGTTCCGATCACTAAAAATTTTTTGAACGGGCAAAAATTCTAAAACGACGATGAGGACAAAACTGCATTGGAGTAATTTTTTGCTCCTTAAAATAAAGAGTTTTATTGAAAAAAGGAAAATGAAATTCGTAATTACTTTTTTACCAACCCAAATTTGTTTAAATTAGTTAAAAATTATTGACTTATCAATAGCATATTCTTTGGTAAATTGATGAATTTTTTTCAATGCAGGCGAACAATATACAAAAATAAATTTGAAATTACTTATGTTGGACCCAGTCAAGTATTGATAAAATCCATTAACAATTCAGATAATGGAATTATGTTAAAATCTCAATACGGTTATGAGGTTAACGATGTTCGGATTATGGGAAAAGATCGTTATATTGTTGCAAGAACTCCTCATACAATATTTTTGGGTAAAAATATTAATTTTCAAAAACTCTTATTGACAATATTGAATCTACCATCAATTAATTTCTTTTTTTTTTTTTATTTACATTATAGGTGATTTAGAAAAAAATTTAGTCAGTGAAATAATGTGGCCTAATTCTGGAAGAAATGAAAAATTTTATTTTGACAATGCTAATGTTTGCTTAATATTTAACGTAGGCGAATTGTCATTAGTTGAATATGGAGAAAATAAAATTTTAGGATCAGTGAGAACAGAATTTATGAATCCACATTTAATAAGTGTAAGACTTAATGAGAGACAAATATCCGGTTCTGAAGATAATAAAAAATTAGCCTATCTTCTCGACTTAAAAACAATATGTATCATCGATTTAGCGTTCGGCGTGACAGTTGCTCATATCAGTCACGATGCCAAAGTAGATTGGTTGGAACTTAATGAAACCGGCTACAAACTACTATTTCGTGATAAAAAACAAAGGTTAATGCTTTTGGATCTACGTTCGGGAAGGAAAGAAGCCATTTTGACTAATTGTACTTTTGTTCAGGTAAATTATAAAAATTTGACTAAAAAAAACTTTTTAGTCACAAAAAGTTTTATTAATAATGATTATAAATTACTTAGTGGATTCCTGGAAGTGACGTTGTAGTTGCTCAGTCTCTTAATAATTTATGCGTATGGTACAACATAGATACTCCAGAACGCGTCACTCTTTTTCAAATCAAAGGAGAAATAGTTGATGTCATACGAGCTGAAGGCAGGACCGAAGTTATAGTGCAAGATGGTATTCATCAATTAGGATATGAATTGGACGAAGGATTGGTAGAGTTCGGAACGGCCATTCATGACAAGGATTTCGGTCGTGCTGTTTTATTTCTTGAAAGTATGGGAAATAGACCTGAGGCAGATGGCATGTGGCAAAATCTAGCTGACATTGCGCTAAGTCTTCAAAATTTGAGAGTGGCCGAAAGATGTTTCGCAGCTTTGGGAGATGTAAGCAAGACTCATTTCTTAAAAGAAACGATAAAAATTGGGACATCGTTTGCTGAACAAAATAACACAGATGTTTTATCTTGTCCAGAAGTCTGGGTGCGGTTGGCAATTTTAAAAAAGCAAATAAAAGAAGCCGAACAAATTTATTTGGAACAAAATGAAATTGATAAAGCAATTGAAATGTATCAAAAATTTCATAAATGGGAGGAAGCTTTAAAATTAGCCCGTTCGAAAGGTAATGCAGAAAGTGAAATCCTTCAGGAAAGACATTTGAAATGGTTGATGGAAACGCGTCAAGAAGAAAAAGCTGGAGACTTGAAAGAAAAGGAAGGAGATCATTTAACTGCATTAAATTTATACTTAAACGCGAAACAACCTGGTAGAGCTTTCCGTCTTTTACAAAACTACACCTATCTTTTAGAAAACGAACAAATCGTGAATAAAGTAATATCATCTCTAATAAAAGCTGATATGATGGAACAAGCTGGTATGCTTTACGAAAAACTTAACGATTATCACAAAGCCTTAGAGTGTTATAAGAAGGGAAAAATTTTTCCAAAAGCTGTCGAATTAGCCAAAAAAGTTGCTCCTAATGAAATCAAATTATTAGAAGAGCAATGGGGAGATTGGCTCACCGAGTCGAAACAATTAGATGCTGCTATTAATCATTATATTGAAGCCAGAAAAACTGTTAAGGCTTTGGAAGCTGCCGTTAATGGAAGACAGTGGAAAAAAGCCTACCAAATTATACAAGTCATTGATGATGTGGAATCAGTTTTGGTTTATTATCAAAAGATAGGAGAATATTTTTTATCTGTTAAAGAATACCAATTAGCAGAAGATATGCTTCTCAAATGTGGTATGTTCAGGGAAGTCATTGACATGTACAACAATGCAGGTAAGTAATATTCCGAAGAGTTTGGAAAAATGGATTAGAAAAATTACTTATAATTAATTTTATAAATTTTAGGACAATGGGACAAAGCTCATAAAATTGCAAGTAAATATTTAGACAATGATGAAGTGACTACTATGTACCTATCCCAAGCCCAAGCATTGGAGGATAGCGGAAAACTAAAAGAAGCTGAAAAAGTATTTGAATCTATTTCAAAGCCTGACATGGCCATCTCAATGTATAAAAAACACCGAAAATACGATAACATGATAAAACTCGTTAAAACATATCATCCTGAATTGGTAACCATAACCCACAAGCATTTGGCACAAGAATTAGAAGCAGGAAAACAATACAAATTGGCAGAACAACATTACATTCAATCGAATGAATGGAAATCCGCAGTAAATATGTATAGGTTGGCAGATATGTGGGATGAAGCTCATAGAATAGCAAAAACCCATGGAGGAACAGAAGCTGGGAATCAGGTTGCTTTTCTTTGGGCTAAAACCTTAGGTGGCGATGCAGCGGTTCGACTATTAAATAAGTTTAATCTTTTAGAGCAATGCATTGATTATTGTTGTGATAGTTATCAGGTACAAGTCAAATGACTTTTCTGCAATTATTTTAAATTTAAAAAATTCTTATGCAATAAATGATGGGTCACTCAAAAATTTTAATGAAAATTTTAGTTTGATTTCGCGTTCGAATTGGGAAAACTTTCCATGAGTGAAAAACTTCCCAATATACATTACAAGTATGCATTAGCTTTAGAAGATGGTGGAAAATTTCAAGAAGCAGAAGAGGAATTTCTAGAGGCCGGTAAACCAAAAGAAGCTATTTCAATGTATATTCATGCTAGAGAATGGGAAAAAGCTGAGGCGGTAGCAGAGAAATATGACAAAAATAGTTTACCGGATGTTTTATTAGCTCAAGCTAAAAACGTGATGGATCGTGAAAATCCATCTGCTATTGAAAGTTTGCTTTTGAGAGCTCAAAAACCTGAAATGTTAATTAAATATTATCAAGATAACGATATGTGGGTCGATGCTCTAAGGATTTGCAAAGAATATTTGCCATCTAAACTCTCGGCGATTCAAAGCATGTACGATAGGCAAGTCGGTAGCAAAGGTAATTAAACGCAAAAAAAAAAAAACGTTTAAAAAAAAAAATTTCATAAAAAATTGAAATATCCTTTTTATTGTTCAAGGATCTTTGACGTCAGTTCTTGCCCAAGCTCGTGAATGGGAACAAAATGGACAATTTAAACAATCAATACAATGTTACATAAAAATCAGTACATTGTCAAACGATAAAGAAACAATTGTTAATTCCTTATTAAAAGCTGCTGATTTAACATCAAAATTTGCTGATCCGGACGATGCGATTATGGTAAGCAGAAGCGTATGCCCAAAATTGATTGAATACAAACAATACGGTAGTGCTGCTCAGTTGTATATGACTTGCGATTTAATACCAGAAGCTGTTGATGCGTACATAAAAGGTGAAGAATGGAGCAAAGCACGAAAAATTGCCAAAGAATACGAACCACGATTAGAATTATACGTTGAAAACAAGTAAGAATTAAAAACCAACATTTCCATGTAAAATTAAATTACTTTAAAATCGAAGAACATTTAAAATTTTCCTTCTAAGGTATAAAGAACACTTAACAATGGCGGGTAATATAGAACAATTGGCAGACGTCGATGCGACAGCAGCTTTAAATCTTTTAGCACGTCAAGGATCTTGGACTCAATGTTTCGAAACGGCAAAGCAATATGGTTCCCAGGTACTACACAAGTATGTTGCCATCCACGCCGCTCAGCTACTGAAAGAAGAAAAAAGTTTAGAAGCGTTGAATTTGTATACGAAATACGAAGCACCAGCATATCAACAAAATTACAACATATACAAAAAAATCACGAGCGACATATTTGGAATGCCTGATATGAACGAACCGGAATCTTATGACGTTTGGGCGGAATTGAGAAACATGCTTTTTAACTTAACGGAAAATATTCGACATTCTCAAGAAGCTGAATCTGCCACTCATAACGAATTCGAAACCCTTTTAACCATATCTCATTATTATGCTGCAAGATCTGCATATAAAGGAATCAAAAACCTGGAAAATTTAGCTGCGAAAATTTCTATCGCTCTTCTCAGATACACGGACGTAATACCAGCCGACAAAGGTTTTTTCGAAGCCGGAGTTGATGCCCGAGTAAATTTTTATGATAAAAATTTTTTACATTTTTTTTTTTTTTTTTTGGTTTTAAAATTTAAAAAATTAAATTTTTAGGCCGTTGGTAAAGATAGCGAAGCTTTTGTATTTTTAAATCGTTATTTGGATATTTGCGACGCCATTGAAGAAGAACAATCGGAATTTACGGATTTTAATGAAATGTCAGATTTTTCAATAACGGATTTCCCATTGGAAGTTCCTTTGTCGGCAACTCAAACTATCGACTCTGTTAAACACGAAGAAGTAAAAGATTGGGTTTTGTCAGTATCAATGGATCAAAGAATCGATCAAGTAAGAATATGACGTCATTGGGAAAATGTTTTTAAAAAGAAAAAAAAGTTTTTCCAACTCCAAATATTTTTTTTTTTTTTTCCAGGTTTTACCTTTGGACGATAGAAATTTATACGAATCCAGTTTAACTTCGATTAATTACGCAGAAGCTGCTGCATTGCCATGCGTTGTCACAGGTTATCCCGTACTCACAGGAAGAGGAAGAAAACCAATCGAATTTAAAAATACTGGAAAAGCAGCCAATAGAGATGATTGGAACAGTTTGATCATGTCGGCAAAAACATCGATGGGATCACATTTGAACGACGTTATTACATTTATTAATGATTGGTGTGGAAATATTCCAAGCGTTAATTTTTAACCGGAAAATTTATTTTCTTAAGAAGATCGTAGTAGATGAATCTTTTCATGAAGGTTCCCTACAATAAAAAAAAAATTTATTTATTTATTTTTCAGTTTATTATATCATATTATAATAAAATGCACATATATTAATATTATATCATGTTTTAATTTATTTTTTTAATCCAAATAATGTATTTAAAAAAAAAAAAAAAACTAAAACAAAATAAAACTTTTTTTTTTTTTTTTTATTATATTATTTGAAATAAATTTTTATCACTAATTCAACTAAAATAACTAATTTACAAATAATAATCCTTCTTTTTTTGCCTTGCATAATTGCAAGACAATAAATTGAAAACAATCGTGTGTGTGTGGCATGAAAGCAAAGAAAATTACATTTTATTGAAACTTTAATATAATAATAATAATAATAAATTATTATTATTATTCACAAGAGCAAAATCAAGAAAAAATTTTTAATTGTACTGTTCGGTTTTTTTTTTTGAAAAGCGATTTAAAAACAATAATAATAATAATAATAATAATAAAACAAAAACAACCAACTTTTCAATATTTAATTGTTCTTTAAATAATTTTTTTTTTATTAAACAGTGTAATAATAATAATAATAAATTTTTTTATTTGTGTCGATTATATTGAAAGAAAAATTAAACTTTCAAAAAAAAAACTACGCATAGCAATTTATGCCGCAAAAAAAAAAAAAAAAATTTTTTATACCAATGTAATAAAATGTATTTTTTTTTTTTTTAATAAAAATTTGTTCACGAATTAAAACTAAATAAATCTCCAGCTGAGGGCAAAGGTGCAAGGCCACCTGTCACATCGGGTAATTGCGTTAAATCTGGTAAATTTTGTAGGTGTGACCTCACTTCTTGTCGTACCTGGTGAATTTTTTGTAATTTTTCTTGATACTCCTAAAAAAAAATAATAATAATAATAATTATATCGATAGTTTCATTAATCAATGAAATAAATTCAAAATTGAATCAACATACTTCTAGTCTTTGTTTCGCATGGGATAACAATTCATTTTGTGATTCTGTAAAATCCCTTAAAAGTGCTGTCACTTTTTTTCTGTCTTCTAATTCTGCAGATAATCTTGCATTGTATTCACTAACTAATTGTGCAGCTGCATTAACTTGTTTGGATAAATTTTCTGCAGCAGCTCTGTCTTGTAGTTTAATTAAAAGACTCACATCGGAAACTTCTGGTGGTAAAGAAGCGATCGCTTCTCTAACAGCCACATCACTCGATGCTGAATTTTCTAAATCCTATTAATAATTATTATTATTATTATGTGTAAAAAGAATATTGAAGGACATTATATTGACATAATATTATATATTATTGACTTAATTATTGAAGGACATTTTACTTACCATCAGAGCTTTGATAATTTCTTCAGGTTCAGGTGGTTCACCTCCAGGTGTTCTAGGTGATAATGTAAGATGAATTTCTTTCAAATTATCAACTTCTACTTCAGTCTCAGTTTCTGATTTTTTTCTTTCTCTCAAGTTTAGAGGAGAATATTTTTCTTTTCTATGTTTTTTTTTTTCATCTTCTCCTGTTTTTTTTTTCTTTTGCGAAGGTTCCACGACTGACTCTAAATATTTTTTATAATAATAAATTATAATTATTTTAAATTTGACATTTTTTAAACTGTTAATAAATTATTAATAATAATAATAATAATAATATTTACCAAAAGCTCTTTTAAATTCTCCTATTTGTTTCGATTCATAAACCCCTCTTTCTTCCCATATATTCAAAACTCTTTCTAAACTTTTTTTCGATTTTTCATCGAAATTTTCTATTCCAGACATATGTTCAAATGCTTTAGGTAATATATTTCCAAATTCTTTCCCATATTCAGGTCCCTTTTTTTTACTATTTTGTATAACATCATTGGCTAAATAAATAAAAGTTATTTTCCTTTTTTCAGATGCTAAAATAAAAAAAATATATATATATAAACAATTGTTGATGCAATCGACAAACAGTACTTTTACATTTTTCCAATTACAATTTCACAAGAACAATAATAACAATCACGTTTTCTACATTTACAACAAAAATTATAAAAAGTTTTAAATTAAGATATCGATTTAAGTAATTAAAATAAAAAAAAATTAAGTTATTTAATTGTAAAACGAGTTGATCATTACCGGCGTTCAAATCCATCTAACCAAAAAGAAATTTTTAGTATTAGAACATAACACACAAATAAATAAATTATTTTCTCGTTAATAATTCGACATTAAAAATTTATAAAAAATTACAGATAAAACGTAATTAAAAAATCACGCGAAGCATTTGCAATACATTAAAAAAAAAAAAAAAAAAATTGTTCAAACGAAAAAAAAAAAAAAGTGGTTAAAATCATTTTTAAGATTAAAAAAAAAAGAAAAATATATAATTAATAATTACCTTTTATGAGTTCTTTATACCAAACTTTAACAATGGATGCATGATGTTTTCTATGATGTATTAACCACAATGAAAGAGTTTGAATACTTTGCTGGGAAGGATTTAAATCCGCTAATTTTTTTATAAGAGCACCTTCACTGAAAGCGGCCATTTTTCCCAACAAAATCTACGGTTTACACTTAGTGTGGTTATAAAACAAACATTGACGTGTCAATAGAAAATACCGTCTTTATTTGAAAAAATCAAAGTCCACACGCAATTAACTTAAACCCTTTAATTTTTATTTTTAAAACAATTTAATTAAATGTCAATTTGACATCCTTTTCTTTCTATTAAATATTTAATTTTAAATAAATATATTAAATAATTTCGAATTAAAAACAGTTAAATTATATAATGTACGAAAATACGTAAAAAATTAAAATAATGATAATGTTCTTTGTTTTTATTTTCTCTATGACTTCTTAAAATTTTCTTTTCTTTTCCTCTCCTTCCTGTTCCTAAAAATCTGGCATTAAAAATAAAATAATAAATAAATAAATTTCATCGATAAAGTAAGAATTGATGAAAACATTAAACTTATTTAATGATTTAAAAAAAAAAAAATTACACAATATCATCATTATTTATATTTATACATATCACCTAAATTTAAATTTTAATTACCGTCATTCATTTTCTTTCCTTCGGGCATCATCCGGATTATAAAACTCTATAAACAAAAAAAAAAAAAAAAAAAAAAAATTTCGTTTGGTTAAAACGACAAGAATTAGAGCGCTTGACAAAAAAAAAAAAAATTTTGTCTGTCGGGAAAATCTTGTGAGCTGTCTTCGTTTTTAGTATTTGCTGAGTGTTCGATGTGAAAGCTTGTATTATTTTTTTCCTATTTTTTTTACACATTTAATAAAAACATATATTTCGTGTGATTATATTAATAATAATAATTGAGTTATTATCATTTATTAATAAATAAATAAATTTATGTTTTTAAATAAAATAAATTAAAAATTTAATTTTTTTCTTAAATGAATCAACCGGTAAGAAAAAATTATTTTCATTAATAAAAAGTTTTCTTTTTTTTTTTTTTTTTTTTTACTCGCACGTAAAATTCTCAACAAAAAGTATTATTATTATTATTAATAAGGTAATATTAAATTATAAAACTTTAATAATTTATTAAGTAATAATAATAATAATAATAATACGTACAATGTCACCGTTAAACAGGTAAAAAGACGTTAAATTAAAAAAAAATTATCATCATCATCGTCATTAAAACTTATTAATTATTAAAATTAACGCTATGAAAATTTTTTTATAAATTATTTTGCATTAAATAATAATAATAATAATAATAATAAAAATATCAAAGTACATTATTTATTTATTTATTCTTAATAATGTCGTCGTCAGAAATTAAGTGCAAAATAAAAAAAAAAAAAACTTAATTAAAAATTCTAAAAATAAAAAAAAAAAAAAGTTAATAATTTTTTTTTCTTTTTTAATTAATTGGAAAAAAAATAATTTCTAGTAATTTTCAAGCGATTTTATTAACTAACAACGATGTTAAAAAAAAAATTATTATTAATAAATAATAAATAAATAAATAAAAATCTTATTAAAAATGATATCGTTAATAAAAAGTTAATTAAACATCATCATCATCTCCATATTCATCAACAGGAATCCTTTAAATTATTTATTATTACACGTAATTAATTATTATTATTATTATTATTAATGTCGTTATTAATTTTATCGATTATTATTATAATTATTATCACTACTACTGGAGAATAAAAATATTTTTTGGAACGTGATTAAACCAAAACTATATAAATTTAATTTAGGGTTAATAAAAAGGATGCAATACGAAAAAAAAAAGGTTTTTTGTTTATTTAACGGTTTTTTTTTTTTTCCATAATGTACGTCGTTATACATCCCCCCCAAAAAAAAAAAAAAAAAAGAAAAAAGGAAAAAAAGGAAAAACCACAAAAACCAAATTTAAACTTTTGGTAAAATGTACAAAAAAAAAAAAGTTTAAAAGGTTAAAATTCATACGCGACTTTTTTTTTTTTTACACGGTTTTATTATTTCGAAAAGGAATTAAAACGAACAATTATTATTATTATTATTATCATTATTAATTTCAGTTTCATTTCCCTTTTGTGCGTTTGTTGTTGTTGTTTTATTCTTTGTTTTTATGTTAAGGATTTAACAAAAAAAAAAAAAGTCATTTGACAGAATTTTACACTCGAGTTAGTTTAGTTTTATACGACGGCTTATATATATATATATATCTTGACGGGAGGAAAATTATGTTTTTCCTCCTTTTTCCACAACAAGGAAAACAAAACAAAAAAAATTTACATAACAAATTAAAAATAAATGAAGAAGGGGATGATGATGATGATGATGATGTGGGAATAGAAATAAATAATAAAAAAAAAATTGCAACAAATTATTGGATCGATTTTTTTATAATCATTTTTTAATTTTCCATAAGCCTAATACGAATTCCAGAAACTCTGGAAAAATTCATCATTTTTTTTAAATGGTGGATTTTATGTTGTGTTCAAATATTTTTTTTTTTTTTTACAAAGCTGGATTATTGTTTCATCCGATAGATACGATAAATAAAAAAAATATCTTTTGGATTTTTCCAATTATATCGTTTTAAAAAAAAAAAAAAAAAAAAAATTTTATTAAATTGTATATTATTTATTTAATTGAATTTAAGTAAAAAAAAAAATAGAATTAAAAAACTTTTTCCTCCTCTTTTTTTGTTTTGTTTTATTTTGAATTACATTACTCATTATTATTATTATTATTATTATTATTATTATTATTATTATTATTATTATTATTATTATTATTATTAATAAATAAATAAAATTAAGTAAAGTGAAAAAGAAAAAAAAAGAAAGAAAAAAATTATGTCGGTTTTTATTTGCATTTTGCTTTTTGTTTATTTATTTAAACATTTTAAGTTTCAATTTATTTTATTTAAATAAATATTTTAAAAAACCGGAAATGAGGTAAGACAAAGCGGAAACTATAAGACGAATGATAAATTTTTAAAATTTTTTTAACCGATGGAAATTTTTTTTTATTCATACATATTTCGATTATTAACATTTTACGATTATTTTTTTTCCAACCCTTTCCCCTCCCCTCCCCTCTCCCCCTCTCCCCGTTTGCCTCCCCTAATCCTCCCCCTAATAAAAAAAACAATAATAATTATTATTATTATTTAAAAGTTTCCTTTTAAGTGGTTTTTTTTTTAAAGGAAAAATTAAAAATATAATTTTCACATCGTAATCAATTAAATCGTATTAAATATAAATTTAATACTCGGGTTTAATTAATAATTTTTTTTATTAATTAATTAATTAATTTTTGAATTTGTTGGGTTAATAACAAAATTTTATTTATTAATAGGATTTTATTAATTTTTTCCTGTTGTTATGTAGTCTAAATTTTCAATCAAGTCTTTAAATAACCCCGTGAGAAAGAGAGAGAGAGAGAGAGAGAGAGAGAGAGAGAGAGAAAACAAATTATTTTTTGAACGCACGAATAAACAAATCGTGTTTTAAAAAAAATTTTTTTTAAACGTCTAGTGACACGTTTTTTAATATTTTTTTTTTTTTTTTTATAGAAACGATAGAATGTCAGTAAAAAAAAAAAAAATTTTCATACGAACTCACGTAATAAAAAAAAATTACCCTAGTCTCGTGAGGTAATAAGTTCATAAAATAACGACGGTAATAATTTTTTTTTCCCCCCCGTAAAAACAACCACGATCAATTTTCGGGGGGTTAAGTATTCGTTATTATTATTATTATTATTAGCGATAAAAAAATTTTTTTATTTTTTTTAAAGGAATCCGCCCATTTTGACCTTCCGAAAAAAATTTTTTTTTTCTTTTTTTTTCATTATTTAATTAATTAATTAATTTATATATAAAAAAAAAAATTAGTTCACGTTAATATTATTTATTACTCTATTTATTACTCTATTTATTACTATATTAATTATTTTAATAAGAAATTATGTAATCTAGTCTAGGAGTAATTTTTGTTCCTATATAACGCGTCACACGTGAATTATTTTTTTAAATAAATTATTCATTTGCCATAAGTAATAAAACATTAAAAATCATTTAATTTTTCCCTTTTGAATTCCTTCCCCCTCCCCACCACTTCACCTCGACCTCGACCTTTTTCCCCTAACCCCCACCCCGCCCCGCCCCGCCCCAAGTTACATATAAACTTTCACTTAACATTTTTTTTTTTTTTTTTTTTTAAACATTTTTGCTAAGATTTACGTTCGATAAAATTATTAAAAATAAATTTATGTATTTATTAATTTACTTACGTCATCAATTAATTTTTAATTAATTTTTTAAATAAATAAATAAAATTTAAAAGAAACGTTTAACTCACAACTTTGTATTGTTTGTTTATGAAAATGACAACAACAACAACAATGGCAACAATGTTTGACGTCATACGGAAAATTTCGCGGTGAAAATAATTCCTTTGAAAAAAAGGAAAGAATTAAAGTTAACCTTTGTGACAAAGGTTATTGTTAAAAACCTGAAAATGATTAACAAAAGGAAAATTATTTTAAAAAAAAAAAAATTTACTTCCATTTTTTTTCTGCCTCCTCATTGAAAACGTTCCATTGAATTTCCCAAATGAATAAATTTTCCTTTTTTTTTTTTTTAAAGAAAAAAAAATTTATTTATTAGAAAAAATTCAATTTTAAAAGGAATGAATTTAATTTTTCTTTTTTTCTTTATCTCGTCAATATCCGAATAAGATTTTTTTTTTCTTTTTTTTTTATCAGTATAAATAATCCAAGTGATGCTGTATGGACCAAAAGAAAAAAAATAATTAAATTAATCGTTGCCGATTATTTTTTTCCATTGATGAAAATCTTTTAACGGACGGATGCACGCGCACTCACACACAAGTACGTTTACAAAAAAAGGTTTAAAATCAGGTTTTTGAAAAGTTTTTAATGGTGTAAAAGTTTGAGATCAAAACCGGAAACGATTGATCGTTTAATTTTTAGAAATTTTTCAAATTCGAGAAGGGAAAAAAAAAAAGAAAATTTTTTTTTTTTAAATTTGTTTCTGGAAATTTAATGGAATTTTCCGACAGGTACGCGGGACATGTCGTACACGTGATGATGATGATGATGATGATGATGATGACGATGATAATAATAATAATAATAAAAGTAAATTCGCGTAAACGATGATGAGGGGAAAAAAAAAATTTTTTTTTTTTGTTTTTTACGGGATTTTTTCGCCATAATTTTTTTTTTTTGTGTATTTTTTTGGGGGGCAACGCCCTTCAATTAAGTAATTGTTTGATTGCAATTTTAACCATTCACATTTATCCAAAGTGTGGAAAATTTTTTTTGTTACTTTTTGTCATCACGACAATTTTTCGGATTTTCTTTTTTTTTTTTTTTTTTTTTATTTTGTGATTGATCGTTGATAAAAATTTTATTTTAAAAAAATTTTTCTTTTTCCGAGAGACCGGAGAAAGAGAAAAATGAGATGAAAATTTGTTTTTTAAAACGCCTTTTAAAACGTTATATAAAATTTAAAAAAAACCGAAACTTTTTTTCTTTTTTTTTTTTTTTTACTGGTTTTCTGGTTTTTTAGACTAAAAAAATAAAAAATGTAAACTCATTGGAAAATGTTGGAAAATTTTTTCTTTTTTTATTTTTTTTCGGGGTTTTTCTTTTGTAGGAAAATTTTTTTTTTTTTAAATTTTGTTTTTTAACAATTGTTTTTTAGAAGTTTGTGCGTGTGCGTACGTGCGTGCGTGTGTGTTTTACGAATTCAAAGGTTTCTATTTCAGGGAAAACAAATTTGTAAAAGCTTTTTACCATCACCTAAAAAAAAAAAAAAAAATCACCAAAAAAACCTTTTTTCCGTTCCTTCCTTCATTTTCTTTTTTTTTATTTTTTTACGAGGGAATTAAATGACTTCAACAAAGTGTTATTTCCATATCCGGTTTTTTTTTCAAACAATTTATCTCGGAATATTATCCGGAAAATTTTTATCATTTCCACAGACAAATTAATAACAACCATATCGACTTGGGAAAACAAAAACAAAAAAAAAAAATTTTCATCTCGTTTATTTAAATAATAATAATAATAATTTTTTCCCTTATAAATTTTATTTATACCTTTTGTGTAAATTTTTTTAAAAATGGCGGATAAAACAAAATCATTATTATTATTATTATCATACCTATTTATTTTTAATGATAAATAAAAAAAAAAAAAAACAAAATCCCACCTGGATTATTTTACAATGGTATTAAACTTTATCATTATTATTAATATTATTATTATTATTACTATTCTTTCCTTTGATTTAAAGCGTGGGGGGGCGGGGGGGAAACTTATTGAAAGTTTTTTGCTGTCGTTGATGGAAATCAACGAAAAAAAAAATTTTATTTATTCATTGTTTTCATTTTTTTTTTTTTTCTTTTCAGGTTTATTATTAAATTTTTTTATTTTGATAAAAAAAAATAATAATAAGAAATTTTATTTTTTATTATTAATAACATAAAAAAAGAAAAGAAAAGAAAAGAAAAGAAAATTTAAATTTAAGAGAATAGAAGAAGAAGAAGAAGAAAAAGGAAATAAAATGGAACTCGAAGATCTTTTTAACCAATATTGTACGAGATTAAAAAATTCACTTTTTGTTTCTTTTCTCACAGTCGGTTTTATATCATCATTTATAGCAAATATAGCGCTATTTTTATATTCAAAGGTAATAATTTTTATTAATTACTATATTATTTTTACCTTGACCTTGAAATCCTTAAAAATTTTAAACCGAAAATAACATTTATTTATATATATATATTTTCTTAAATAACAAAATAAAATATTTTCCATTCCATTCGATACGATACGATACGATTCGAGTTTTTTTTTTCTTTCGAGATTTATAATTTTAATATTTATTAAAGTAAAAAAAAAAAAAATTCATTTTAAATCGATTTTTTATATTATAAAATCAATAAAAAATTCAAAAAGGAAAATCGTCGTTGACGTCGACGTCGAATTAAAAAAGTGTGACTGGAAAATTTTAAAAACCGGAAACGGATATAATCTCGAAAAGAATTTTTTTAAAGAAAAGTATAACTTTCGAGTTCTTAAAATATAATTAAAATTTAAATTTTTTTTCTTTTTTTTATTTTAGGTTTTATCCGATTGCGTTTGGCAAGTCGCCATATTGAGTTTTATAATCATTCTACTCTTATTAATAATAATTATTTGCACTTTTACAAATTTTCTTAAAAATACTATATTCGCAAATGTAACGAGCGTATTAACGTCCGTCATATTAGGTTTTGGAGTGATATATTTAAATGGCGTTTCAGCACCACTTCCGGTATTCAGTTTGATATTGGCCATACACACGATGCTTCCGGTCAATAAATTAATATCGATTTTATTAGCCGTGTCATTAACGATATCATCATTTTTATTTATGTACACGATGAAAGAAAATAAAAATTATTATTATCAGGTGAGTAATAGTAATAATAATAATAATAATAATAATAATAATAATAATAATAATAATAATAATAATAATAATATTTTATTAATTTATTTTTTTAAAATCGATAAAATAAATTTTTTTTTTCGTTTCGTAATATTTTTTCGCGCTTCTTTAAAATCTAAAATTTTTTTATTTTATTTTTATTTAATCTGAAATATAATTTAAAACCGGAAATTTATAAAATAAAAACCGTTGAAATTTCTTCTTCTGTTTTTTCTAAAAAAAAAAAAAAATAAATGTGCCCTGAGAAAATAAATTTTTTTTATCAGAAAAAATATTTTTTTTTCGAAAGACCACATTTAATAAATGTTTTCTTTTTTTTTTTTTTTAACACAAAAGAAAAAATAAATGAAAATTTAAATTTTTTCGTTTTTAAAATTTATTGACGGCGATCTAAAAAAAAAAAAAAAAAAAACGTTTTTTTATTTCCTGTAATGAAACGGAAATGAAGTGCATCTGAGCGTTTTGACCTTTTTTTCTCTTTTTTTAATTTACCTAAGTCACGAGGAATGGGGAAAAATTTTTTTTTTTTTTTTTGTCAACATTTAATATTCATAAAAAGAATTTTTTTTTCTCTCGTCAACCGTTTTAATTTAAACTCTCTCCTACCATTTTTTCTCCAGTTATACATTTTAAATTTTTATAATGATAATAATGATGATAATAAAAAAAAAACACACACCCCCCCACATGTTTAATTGTTTTTTTTTCTTTTTTGTGAGTAACGATTGTGATAAAGTTTTTTTTATTTGTGTTTTAAACTATTTCAATTTTAATTTTAGTTTTTTTTTTTTTTTGCTTTTAATGTAAGACGAAAACTTTTTCGAAAGGAATTCTAAAAAGATTATTTATGAAAAAGAATTAAAATAATTTTTTTTTTATACGTTAAACATAAAATTCGAAAATGAATAATATAAAAAAAAAAAATTAGGTATGCAATTTTTTATTCGCGTAAGTATAACGTGGTGCATATTTTAATTAAGTAAGGCGTTTTTTTTTTAAAAATAAAAATTTAAATTTGTTGGAGAGAAAAGAAAAAAAGTCGAATATTATTAATTATTACTTACGACGACGACGACGATAATAAAATAATTATTATTATTCAATTAAAAATAAAAAATATTTAAATAAAAGTTATTTAAATAATTAATAATTCCAAAAATTAATTATTAAAATTTCAAAAGTTTTGTTATTTCAAAAATTTCCTTTCACTTCCGGGCTTTACATACATTTATATTATAAACGAATTTATATTATCGATAAATTTTTTTTTTTTTAAAGAATTCATCATCATTATTATTATTTAATTTGTTTTTAAAAAAATTTTATTGTACCGTTAAAAAAAAAAAAATTCTTCAATTTATTTATTTTATTTTATTTAAAAAAAAAAAAACGTTAAATTTTTATTAATTATTTTCTTTTTCATTCGAATATGAAAAATTTTTATTTGAATACCTAAAAATGTTTTTTTTTAAATTTATTATTATTATTATTATAATGTTTTGAATAAAAATAACGAAAAAAGAAAAAGTATACGATATTACTCTCGTTCGTAAAAAAAAAAAAAAAAAAATAAGAAAAGAAAAACGAGAAAGAGAAAGAGAGAGAGAGAGAAGGAGAGAGAAACTTTTTGTTCGTTATTTCGATTTAAAAACATATAAATAAAAAATTATAATTGTTAAAAAATAAAAAAAGGAGGAAAAGATTTTTACGTAAACAACTTGTTTTGTTCCTATACATTTAATTAATTAAAATGAAAAAAAAAAAAAAATTGTAATTTCACTTCTCCCCCTCCCCTCCCCTCCCTTTGCTTCGCCTGTAGGAAAAATAAATGGGGAGACTTTTTTTTTTTCCTGTCTAAAAAAAACTTTTTCAAAATTAATTATTAACTTATAATGGAAAAAAAAAAAAAAAAAAATTTATTTACTTCTCTCGAGTTTATTTTCTTGTCTTTTAAATACAAAAAAAAAACCTCACCACAGAATGTTTATATAAAAAGAAACAAAAAAAAATTCTTTTTAAATAATAATAATAATAATAATAGTTTTTAAAATTTAAATAAAATAATTAAGTAAAAAAAAAAGAAAAAAGGAAAATTTTTGAATTGAATGAAAATTTTTTTTTTTTTTTAAATAAACGACTTTAAATTATTTTCCCGTAATTAAATATTATAATTACAAACACGAGACGAGGCGGTAAGTCCACAAAAGAGAGAGAGAGAGAGAGAGAAAGTGAAAAGGATTCGAGTTGAAAAAATTTTGATTAAAAATTTTCCGAGTGAAGAAAATAAATTTTTAGAAAAAGAGAGAGAGAAAAAAAATATTTGTTTTATAAAATGCGGGGTAGGAAGAGGGAGGGTAAGGATAAGGGTAAGGCAGGCATAAGAAAGTAAAAGAAAAGTTAGGAAAATTAATTCAAAGCCCGCTTTTCCATCTGTTTTTCCATTAAAAAAAAAAAAAAAAAAATTATCGTACTGGCTAATTGTTAAAAAAAAAAAAAAAATGTATTTTTTTTTTTTCCAGAATTGCGAAGCCATTTTCCTTTTATGTGCAAACGCAACAGGTCTTTATTCCAGATGGATGACGGAATTAAATCATAAAAAGACGTTTATCGGTACAAAAGCATGCATAGAATCAAGGGTCAAATTAGAATGTGAAAAAGAACAACAGGAACAACTTTTGTTAAGCGTTATACCGGCTTACATAGCAGCCGAGGCAATTATTTTAATAAAAAAAAAAATTTTTTTACCCCCTTCCCCCTCCCCGAAACGTTTCCGAAAAATTAAAAAAAAAAAAAAAAAAACGTTTTGTTATTTAAAGGTTAAAAGAAGCATTATGTTAAAAATGGCGAATGCGTGTCAGGATACGACAAACAAACAAACGAGATTTCACGAAATGTACGTTCAAAGACACAACAACGTGACGATACTTTATGCGGACATTGTTAATTTCACGCCATTATCAGAACAATTGAACGCATCCGATTTGGTAAAAACGTTAAACGAATTATTTGGAAGATTTGATCAAATCGCTCAGGTACACAATAATAATAATAATGATTATGATAACAACGACAACGACAAACCATTTTAAAAACAAATTGTTTTCATTTTGATAGGATAATCAATGCATGAGAATCAAAATATTAGGAGATTGTTATTATTGTGTGTCGGGACTTCCGGTTTCACGACCTAATCACGCTTACAATTGCGTCAACATGGGATTGAAAATGATCGAAGCCATTAAGTAAAACTTTTTTTTTACATTCGTTTCCTTCTTTTCCCCTTTTCCCTCCCCCTTCCCCCCTCAAAAAAAAAAAAAAAAATCAACGTACTCTTCACGTGATATTTTTAGGTTCGTACGAGAAGCAACCGGATGTGACGTAGATATGAGAATAGGAATTCATACGGGAAACGTTTTATGTGGAGTTTTAGGATTAAGAAAATGGCAATTTGACGTTTGGAGTGATGACGTAACACTTGCTAATTATATGGAATCCGGTGGTGTTCCAGGGTTAATTACTACACTATTATTATTATTATTACGACTCATTTCAAATTAAATCCTCTAAAAAAATTATTTTTTTTCTTGTGTAAAGGAGAGTTCACATAACGAAAGCGACACTTTTACAATTAAATGGAAAATTCGAATCGGAACCTGGATTCGGAGGAGATCGGGAACCATTTTTAGCCGATCATAAAATAGAAACTTATTTAATAATACCGCCAAAGGTGAATGTCTCCAAATAATAATGATGATTACTATTAATTAAAATAAAAGAAGAAGTTTTAAAAAAAAAAAAAAATTTTTTTAGAAGGACGATACCGCCGTCGATTTAGAATCGATCGATAACAATAAAATCGATAATAAAAATGATGATGATAATAATATGAAAAACAATTTAAAAACGAGATCATCGTCGAAAATGACAAAATATGTCGAATGTTGGGGAGCCGATAAACCTTTTGCAAACATAACGGAAGCAACTTTGGCTAAAAACATCGGAATAACCGTTTGTATAAAATTATACGACGTGACGTAATTTTGTTATTATATAAATAATTATAAGAATAATATTAATTACTAGAGTATCAACATGCTCGAACCCAATCTTTTTACACCGAAAACATCCTGGTGGAACATAAGAAATTTTATCAATTACGAAGATTTTCATCCGATTTTCCTTTGGTTGAAAAATAAAGAATTTGAAAAAAAATATAGAAATTTACCGGATCCATATTTTAAATATTACATGATTTTTTCTATCGCCTTATTCTTATCAATATCATTCATACAATTTTTACTCACTAAAAGGTTTGTACTACTACTACTACTACTACTACTACTAAAACCATTCAAAAAAAAAATTTATTCGGTAAAAGAAAATTTTTTTTTTGTTTTCCAGAACTTTCGTTTTTTACGGTTCCTTCGGATCTACCGCAATAACACTTTTAACATTTTTATCATTAACATGGTTAAAAAATTGCAAAAATATTAAATTATCGGAAATTCCATCATCGGAACCGTTAGATTACGACACGAGTCGTTACACTACTTCTACCAGATGGTTAAGACTCGTTATATTTATGATAACAACAATTCTTATCTCCACGTGTTCCGTTATCACTCTCGTAAACAACAACAACAACAAAAATCATTTTTTTCATTTTAAAAAAAACCAACGAATAAATATTAATTTTTTAAACTTTTTTTTTTTTTTTAGCTTGACTCGGAAAATTATTATCCGGAAAATATAACGATTTTTAATAATAATAATAATATTAGTTCTGAGAATTTATTAAAAGATTTAAATTGGACGAAAGATTTACAAATAAATTTTAGCGATGGCGATGGCGATTACGACGAAAGCAATAATCTCGCACCCGTGAGTATTTATAATAAAATTTTATTAATTTTTTTTTTTCTCGTTAATAAATAAATAAATTAATAAATAAATTTGGCGTTAAAGTGTTATCTTTTTAGTTCGACTTTAACATTAGCATCAATTTCAGTTTTTTTAAAATTGGGTTTCATGTTAAAATTTTCCCTAATGGCTTTCACTTCGATAATACATATCATCCTATACACGAATCAACCTTTTTTTCATTATTATTATTATTATCAAAATCAAATTGGTAACGGGTGAGTATTTTAATACAAAGATGGATGTTCCCTTTTTTTTAAAATGTATTTTATCATCCAATCGTTTTTTTTAAGATTTCAAGAACTTTCGATTCATTTTAAAATAACAATAAGTTTTTGCATAACGATCATACTAATACACATATTAGATAGACAAATTGAATTCACATCGAGAACAGATTTTCTATGGAAAGCAAAATTAAAAGTGGAACAGGAAGAAGTTGAAACTATGAGGGGGATAAATAAAATACTTTTGGAAAATATACTTCCGGAACACGTGGCAGAACATTTTTTAACATCGAGTAGATTGACTCAGGTTTTTACACTTATTTTTAACTTCTTATTTTAAAAAAGAAATTTTTTCAAATCTTTAAACAAAAGATAATTTAATTTTTCATATTTAAGAATCTTTATCACGAAAAATATAGTTGCATAGCCGTCATGTTTGCATCGATACCTAATTATAAAGAATTTTACGACGAAAGCGACATTAATAAAAAAGGTTTAGAATGTTTACGTCTTTTAAACGAAATCATTTGCGATTTTGATAAATTATTATTAAAACCGAAATTTAGTTGCATTGAAAAAATAAAAACAATCGGAAGCACTTACATGCTTGCATCCGGATTAAGTCCCGGAAAAGAAGCTAATAAGGTACGTTATTATTATTATTATTATTAATTTTCCTTAATATTAAATTAATAATGATGATGATTTTTTTTAAATAAAGGACGCATCGAGGCAAAAAGAACACATGGTTGTGATTTTATTAGAATTTGCAATTGCATTGATGACAATTTTAGATCAAATAAATAAAGAATCGTTTCAAAGATTTAAATTGAGAATCGGTAATGGATAATTTTTTTTGTTTACTTTTTTCTTAGTTGTTAAAATAATTTTATCACTGATAAGAAATAAATAAATTACAAAAAATAGGATTAAATCACGGTCCGGTTATTGCTGGAGTCGTTGGAGCACAAAAACCGCAATACGATATTTGGGGTAATACGGTTAACGTTGCATCGAGAATGGATAGTTGCGGTATTATGGGACGCGTACAGGTATGTAATTAACATATACATATGTATTTCCTTTTCCGGTTTGTCATTCGTTTAAACTTTAAATTTAGGTAACCGAAGACACGGCTAAAATATTACAAAATGCCGGTTACGAATGCGAATGTAGAGGACCGACGTACGTCAAAGGAAAAGGAATGCTGATAACGTATTTTGTCAAAACGCAATTTGACGATAAGTAAAAATTAATTTTTGCCGCCATTTTTCCGAAAAAAAACCGAAAACCGGAAATAGACAATCATCAAACAATTAATTTAAATTAAAAGAATTTTTTTCCCTTTTTTTGTGTATAAAAATATTCATGTTCGATTGTATTTGTTATTACGCGATACAATTATTATTATTATTATTACTACTATCATTATTTAATAAGTGTTTTTAATAATTTAAATAAATAAATAATAATAATAATAAAAATATGTAATTTTTTGTTTTAGTAAACAGTACAGAGTAAGAAAAAAAAACGAACAAAATAAAAAAAAATTTTTTTTCCCTTTTCTTATTAATTATCATTATCATTATCATTATCATTGTTATTATTATTAATTTTACGTTTAAATAAAATGAAGAAGAAGAAGAAAAAGAAAAGAAGAAAAGGCATTTAAAATTAATATATATATATTAAAAAAAATTTATAAATATATATTTTTTTTCGTAGGGAAATATTCATATATATCAAAATACAAAAAAAATTTTTTTTTTTTATAATATCGATATACGTATCGATCGATCGATCGATCGATAAATCGATATTAAAATTAATAAAATACTTTAAAATTTTTTTATTTTTTTTTCCAAGTCTTTTTATAATAATAATAATAATAACAAAAAAGATTATGATTATTATTATTATTATGATTTTATTTTTTCCCCATCGTAAATTTATATAAATGTACGTACGTACAGGCACACGCTCATTCACACGTACACGCACACACACACACAAATAATATATATATATATTTAAAAAAATTATTTAAAATTTTAACAAAAGAGAGAGAGAGAGAGAGAGAGAAAGTGAGAGAGAAAACAACAAGAGGTTAATTTTTTCCCCCCGATGTGTTTCCATCTTATTAAATCAAATCAATAAATAAATAAATTAAAACCTATTTTTCATCACAACAACAACAAAAAAAAAAATTATTTTTTTTATTTTTATTAATTAATTAATTAATTAAATTTAATAATAAAAGATTATATAATTATAATTTATATTATTAAATGCACTCGCGGTTATTTTTAAATAGAAAAAGAAAAAAAAAACAATTAAATAAATTGAGCACCACCTTATCTATATATAACCTGTTGGCCATTTCTTTTTTTTTTTGTTTGTTTTATTTACAAATTAAATTTTAAAATAAATAAATAATAATAATAATAATAATAATAATAATAATAAATTCCAGCAATTTCTCTTGCCGGAAAACAGAAAAAAAAAAAAAAAAGAAAACTTGGTAACGGTTAATAATTGTTTGTTTATATGAAGAAAGAAAGAAAAAAAAAAAAAAGAAAAAAAAAATTTCCACTCATTAACAAACGTATCGCATCATCAATACAAACACGCACTCACACACACGCACGCACGCACGCACGCACGCACACACACCCACGTGTACAACATTTTTTTTTCTTCTCTTTTTAATTAATTAAAAAAACAAACATGTAAACGACACGTGTGTAAAAAATTTTTCACGAATAATAAACGACACATTTTAAGTAGTAATAATAATAATAATAATAAATAATTCGTATTAATTAATATTTTTGTGCAAAAATTATTATCATTATAATTTTTTTATTTTATTTTCATTTTCATATAAAAAAAAAAATTTCCCACGAATTTTCCAAAAATAAAATAAAAAAGTGGGATGTGATAAAATTGGAAACAGAATAATAAAAAAAAAAAAAAAAACAAACCGTAAATTGTTGTCGGGGAAGCAGAAAGGGAAAAGTTTTTTTGTTGCCACGATTCGTATTCGAATAAAAAAAAGAAAAGAAAAGAAAAGAAAAGACAAAGAATGAAAATGTCGAAATACTGAAAACACGAAAATACTTACAAAAATACACGTTTTATATATATATATATGTATGTATATATATGATATCACAGAAAAATAGTTTAGAGACTGCTTCGGAAGCAACAGAACGACAACAGAAATGCAGACAGCATCCGATTTTTATGGTGTTCCATCTCTTTGTTTGATCGTTTTCAAAAAAGTCCCGCTTCTTGTTTTAATTTCTTTTTTTTCCATGATGGCATCCTGATAAATTCTTCCTTTTCCAAACCGAATAATTCCTAAATAATTTACGATGATAATTATATTAGATCATTACTAGGTTCAAACGTTGAATTTAACGAAAAAATAAACCGGAAATGGGGATTTACCTGGAAACATTGTGGTTTTAAATAATCTTCCAAAGACGTCGGATTAACACCGTCTGGCAAAGGACGATTTTGAAGTTGCGACAAAGGATAATAAGATTGCGTTAAACTTTCCAATTCCGTTTTAACCGAAAGAATTTCTCCAGGTTTTTTACCATCCTGAAATGATCATCATCATCATTATTATGTTTTGAGCGAGAGAAAAAATTTTAATTATTCATTATTATTCAAACCTGAATGTTTATTTCGGCTACATCGTCGCGATTCGTCCAAAACGGAAACTGATTGGTAAAAACCAAAGGTTCCAAACCGGCCCACACCAGATACACTTCCGGTGGTGAATTTTTATTCTTGTGATCCCAATAGGCAAGAGCAGTTGTCATGGCGGCTCGTCTTTCGGCTTGAAATCTTACGTTTCCGGTTCCCCTATCGCTTTCCGTGTTATTATCCCACCAACCTTGCCACAACCACAAACCGGAAGGTGAATCGAGAAGGAATAGGGCCGGCTGTGAAGCTGAATATAGATCGCTTTGTAAAAATGGAAATGGAGTCGGAACGTTTTTGGTCAAATAAGGTGAAGCTAGTTCATTGAATTGAAATTCTCCAGACACGCTCGTCAAATGAAAAAGTCTCGGAGTTTTAACTTCGAAATCATCATTGTCGAGCAGACTGAAATACAATTTCCTGTTATCTCCACCGACGGCGTTTAAAAAGTCACGTGATTCGCTTCCTTCCATTTCTTCTCGAATGGTAATTTTCGATGATTCAAATTTGAATTCATCGTACATATTTTTTTGAATTTCATTGACAGCATGTAAAATCACCTGAAAATTTTAAAAATTAAATTTTTTTTTTTTTTTTTGGGTTGTCACCCTGGTTTTGTCAAAACTTTAAATTTTTTTTTACCCTTTTCGTGTGTTCACAAGATTTCCATCCGTGCCAAACGATAATTTTTCCAGTAGAATTATTTATTAGGGCAAAAGAAGTGACGCTTCGGAGTTGACGCATGCTACAAGGCACTTCGAACAAAACGGCTTCCGATTCCGTTTCTCCTCTGCAAATAAACATTCTCCAGGGTCCGGTGGAAACCTCTTCGGAGAATCGTCGTCCTCCGTGCACGATCATTTTCCCTTGAAAAAGATTTAAAAAAGCTGGAGGCTCGAAACCTTGAACCACTTGAATTTGCGGACCGTGTTCTTTGTCCAGTTCAACTGTGAGACACGCAGCTGCTCCTTTGTCGTTCACTGGAGAATTCGCACCTTGCCAGCAAAAATAAGCGTAACGATCTCTTCCGGTTGTGAAATGCTTAGAAGGTTGACCACTCAATTCCCGACCTGGAGTACGTAAACGTGTCAAGATGTCAACATTAAAAAAATTTTTATTTGTATTCCAGAAATCTTTTTTTTTTTATTCTTACCCGTGATTGTGATGGTGTAGTGCCACCTAATGACGTAACTGTCTTCTTCGTGAAACTGTCCGACCGATTTCGATGGAACTTCAGAATATTCGTACTCGTTTATGTGCCAAACAGTAACTTCTCGAGTTGATATTTCCGAACAACGTCTGGTTTCTTCATCGAAAAACCTGATTCCTCTTCCCAAGTGACTATTTTCCAATATGAGATCCGGTTCCGGTACGACATTTTCAATCATGTCCTTGACATCGCAAGCTTTGAAATCGGTATTCAAACTTCCGTTATGTTCACTTTCCTCGTTTTTCTTACTCTTCTGTATGACTCTTGAATAATCAGGCCAGTCTAAAAATTTTTCACGAAACAAAACAGTTTCCATATTTTGTGTGATTTTGGCGAATAAAGCCCAAGACGGTCGAACGGGACCGGCTTTTGCCGAATCTGGTATTTCACGATTGACACCGTTTTCGCCCAGAAAAGAAGCTGCCGTCAGAGGACAGACGGCGCAATCCAAATAATCAAATCCTTCTTCCCAGAGTTCTTTGGCAACTTTTAAAGCAGTTTTACGTACCGACGGACCCACGTTTTTACCCATCCAAACGTAAAATTCGGATCCAAAATCAAAAATTAAAACCTTTAAATAAAAAAAAATTTCCACCATTACTAATTAATTTAAATCCTCCCTCCCCCTCCCGGTTTTTTTTTTTTTTAAAACTTTTCGTCTGCATTAGGATTTTTACCTTGTTAGGATCGAGAATTTCGATTTTAGGTATGGATCCCCAGTAATTTTCATTCGGTACCAATTCATCGTTTATCAATTCGTATACCATGTTAGTATCGACGAGACAAGATTCAAACAATTCATCTTCGTCTGGATTTCCGGCTTTTCTCTCGCAATCGGGTTTACCACCGAGTAAATTCCAAAATTCTTTTATCTGTTCCGTCGTCGCTTTTCCAGATTCTCCGATCGTGATGATGGAATCCGCCGTGCATCCCAAATCCCCGTTTTGTAAAATATTCGAAGAAATTTCCGAACCTCGAGATCTTTCAATCACGTTGGCGTATTTTCCAACGTAGTGAAAAATTTTATTACCGGAAACGAGAATGAAACAATCTCCGGTATTCACGTTTTCCGCGATGGGTTCGATAAGCCTCGTTTGAACGTGTCTTCGCCCCTTCACATGCAACAGCATCAAACTCTTGTACGGAGAATCCGGAAATATCGTTCCTTCCATGGGTTTTTTCAATGTGATCGCGGTAAAATCTTCTTGACTAGCTAAACCTGCAAGAGCTTCAATAGCGAGAGTTGAGTTTTTGGCAGCTAAAAAAAAAAAAAAAACAAAAAAAAATTAATAATAATAATAATAATTAACATTTAACTTACTAACTAAGGTTGAACCAACCCCCCAACCTTTTTCAAGTTTGATCCTTTTAAGTTCTTTTTGTGCGACTCCAGTCTTAACTTCCGTATATTCTTGTAAATCTAAACGTGCTGCTAATGATTTTAATGGATTCCTTACAGTGACTCTCCTTCTTTGCATTTTTATATTTTTTTTTTGAACTAACCTGGAAAAACAAAAAAAAAATTTTCATTGACGTCATTTGATAATATCTCTCTCTCTCTCTCTCTCTCTCTCTCTCTCTCTCTCTCTAACAAAAAAAAAAAAAAAAATAATAATAATAGTTTGCTCACAATTGACTAGAATTAATATTGGTTACGAGGTCTAAATCTTCATCATTTATTTCAAGGCGTTCCCGTAAAATTTTTTCCGATGATAATCCGCCATTGAAAAAAGACGTAAAAGTTTCGTCGTCTGTTTTCGGTACGCTCACTTTTAAACCTTTCGCATCCTTTTCATCTTCCGCCACTGACGACGACGACGACAAACTCAACAATCCATCTTTTCCACTTCCGGGAGCGCTTACAGATCTGAAAAAATAATAATAATAATAATAATATGAAATCATTCGAACGACTTTTCTTTTCCCGTAAAAAAAAATTTTTTTTTTTTTTGTGTTGGTATCTCACCTTGAAATAGGATTGCTCAATTGTTCGTTGCACGGTGAAGATGGCATAGATTTCAATGAATTATTGCACTTTTTACTTTTAAATTTGGCTGCTTTCGGACTACGTTTCGTTCTCTGAGTCGATAAAATCGACAAAGATGGACGCGGTGGTATTTGAGAATCCGTTTTACCAAACATTTTTCCCTCAACGGAAAACCGAACGGCATCCGAGGGTTGAATCCGTTTTTTCCAACCATCTTTTGCCGCATCCAATTTTCCCAATCTATCCGCCAATATTGAACTCTTCAAATCCGTTCCTTCTTTTTCTTTTCGACATATTGATCGCGATGGAATTTCATTCTTCGACAAACTATTTTCCTACATGGAAAAAAAAACAATTTAAACTCAAAGTTATTCCTTTTTTGTTATGACGAGAGATTATAATCTCCCTTTGTATTATCACAATTGATAAATGCGAGTCGTCGTAAGAAGGGAAAACACAAAAAAAATAATAATAATAATAAATGTCAGAGAGTGAGAGAGAGAGAGAGGGGGGGGGAAGGTCACCGTATGTCACACTTTTATTAGAAATCGATGACGACGAAAACATTTTTCTCCAACATTGTCACATTTAAAATTACATTGCAAAAAAAAAAAATATTGAACACAAAGAAAAAAAATCGGAGGGGGAAGGAAAGGGGGAGGGGAGGGGAGGAAAAAAATTAAAATACAAAATTATATACGCAAGACGAGGCGTAAACAATTTAAAATGAATTCATACGTAACAACAACTTAGAAATAAAGATCATTGTTTTAAACAAAAGAGGAAACGACGTATGTAATTGACAAACGGATTGATAATTAATAATGTGTGTGTGTGTGTGTGTGCGCGTGTGCGTGCGTGCCTGCGTTTGTAGATAAAAAGTTGAAAATTTGTTACTTTTAAACATTTAATGTCACAATACGCGTTAAGTAAGAAAAAAAATGAAAATAAAAATTTTGCTGAATAATTTCCTCATGAGTGTAATGAACTTACATATATATATATATAAGAAGAACTAAAAAATTATTTAACGTCCGTTGATGGGCCAACGATCGTTTATGGAAAAAAAAAAAAAGATGGCAAAACGTACAAATTATATCGTCGTCGCTAATAATTTTTTTCCTTTTATAAAGTTGGCAACGTTCGAAACGTAATTTTTTTTTTTAAATTGTACTCGAACAGGTGCAGGGCAAAACCTTAAGGCACGACCGGAAATACAAAATTGATGGCAAACCGAGCGAAACAATAATTTATTATTTTTTCCGTTTAAAAATAATAATAATAACGAAATGCTCTAAAAGGGTTCCCGATATTATTATTATTATTATTAACACTTTTTGGCTTTCAAAAAAAAAAAAATACCTTAAAAAGATAATTTCCGGAAGTGATGACTGAAAGTTCATTTTCTATATTTGTTATTTGTGATTTTCTTTTCTGCCAATTCAATTCTCCATTTCTTTTTAATCTCGCCAACCTGAAAATCGTAAAAAAAAAAAATTTTAAACAAACGTCCGGATGTATCGTCATCATCATCATCATCATCATCAGCCGTACCTTTCTTGTATCGTTGCACCGCTCATATCATCATCCGTATTACTCGAACTTTCGGTTGATTTAAAAGGTTGAGTCGTGGACCTTCGTAAACTTCCACCCATTCTCGCACGGCTTTCGTCTGTTTCGTCTTGATTTTCTACCGTCCCGTTAAAACCTGAAGTCTTGCATTTCGTCGAATCTGTTTTAAGGGATGAACGAAAAGCAGACGATACGGCAGAATGACTCTGACTCTTGACTATGGACGAGGCATTATTATTTCTAAGAAAAAAAAACAAAAAACATTTTTGAAAATTTCATCAACGATTTCATCGATATTCTAATTACACGTTTTTTTTTCACAATACTTAAACAATTATTTATTTCCTACGGCCATTTATTAACCCCCCATCCCTCCCTCCCCTTTCATAATTTTAAGGAAAAATCATCCCGTTTCCCAAAATATTAATAATAATATTAAATTTATATTAACCCAATTAACGAAACTTATTAACTATCTTAAATAACAAGATTCTCGTTAGATATTATCAGATTATTATTATTATTATTGTAAATATTACGTAATCATCTGCGGTGATAAGATAATCAAATTTAATTTCGAGATGATGATGTTATTTTAACGAGAAAAAACAAAAATATAAAAAATAAAAAAAAGTTTTTTTAATTACAAAATCGAAAAATTTCATATTCCAGGGTCGATTAATCGATTATTTCATCGTTTTCCCACTCGTACTCGAAAAAAATCGAAAAATTTCAAGGTTGGAAAATTTTTTTTTAATTTTAAATCGGACATCACCGCCATCATCATCTTCGTAGGTTACCTACCGACCGACCGTCCGACCGACCCGACTTGAAATATCATCAACTTTTACTTTTACCTATTTTATTTTAAAAAAAAAAAAAAACTCTTTCGTACCTGATGAACAAATATATATTTCGCCCTTGTTAAATTGAAAAACGAAAGGACAACAAAAACCCACCACAAATACCAACCGAATTAAGGACCGCAAATAAACGCGCACAACAACAACAACTCTAAGCACTCACGCAAAAAAAAAAAAAAAACAAACAAACAAACTGCGTATGACCAAATATTTTTTTTTTAGTTTTAGTTTTATTTCAAAATTTCATAGTTATTAAATCAATATTGATAATAATAATAATAATGATAATGATAATAATAATTTTCGCCCAACCAAATTGTTGACATTAGTCATTATTTAAACCTTGAATTTTTTTTTTCTTTTTTTACTAATTGCCGTTTTAAAAAACCAATAATAATAATAATTATTATTATTATTATTTTTCTCTTTTGGATTTTTGTAAATGTCTTCTGCTACTTTTTATATACGGAAGAGGAGGATTTTAGTTTTTTTTTATTTATTTATAAAAATAATTTAAAAAAATAACTTTTAACATTTTAAAATATTTACATAAAAATTATTTAAAAAAAAAAAAAAAATTAAATCGCGAGAGTGACGTTATCATTATCATTATCATTATCATTATTATTATTTTTTTTATCGAGTTCAATGTCGATCTATCTGGGTATGAATCACCGCAAATTTCGTATCGTGAAAAAAAAAAAAAAAAAATAACGATGTTTCGATTCGATTGGTTTACAATTGTAAATAAAAGAAAAACCAAAAAAATCTTTTCGGTAAGGGAGCAAAAGAGAGAGAGAGAGGGGGGGCAACATTTAAGGTTATATACAAATTTGACAGTCTCTCTCTCTCTATCTCTTTCCCTCTTAATAAATTAAACCCAACGGCAAAATGTGCAATTTTTCGCGGCTTTGACGCGTGTGTAAAATAATTTTCCAAATCTATTTTTCAATTAATAAATAAATAAATACATAAATAAAATTTTATTTATTTATTTTTGACGTCATCACGAGCCTCACTCAAAAAGACAAAACATTAAACAAAAAAAAAATAAGTACGATTTATCTATAAATTAATTGAATTTTTCATTTTTTTTTTTCTAGCTTATTATTCTAGCTTAGATTTCCAATATGGCCGCCTTGAATTTTTTTCAAAAACAAAACGCAAGTACGAACAGGAAAACTCGTAAAAACCTGTTAACAATATAATCATTTATCACAAAAACCAAAAGCAAAAAAAAAAAAAAAAAAAAAAAATTACTTGAAATCATGCCTCACACCTCGATGATGTAATATTAATAATAATAATAATACTACTACTACTAACAACAACAACGTTATTATTATTATTATTACAGGTTCTAACGATTGAAAATAAAATTTAAAAAAAAAAAATCAAGGATTTATGACGATTTAATAATGACTTTTTTTTTTATTACACCAAGAAAAACAAAAAGAAAAATTTTAAATGACAATAGGAAAATTTGTATGACGTCATCAAATAAAACCCTGAGGAAATTTTTTTTTTTTTTTTTTATGTAAAAGATTAATAAATTATAAATTGGTAGTATTACATTGATAATAACAAATGATTGATAAGACAAAAAAACAAAAAAAGTGTTATAAATGAATAATCCTCTCTTTAAGGCCTTTCCGGAGGGTGAGAGAGAAGGGGGGAGAGAGAGAGGGAAAAGAGATTTATAACATCGTGTCGATCATCATCATTATTATGACAACAAAAAACCTTTTAATTCACACACACACAAAAATAATTAATTACTCTCGAAACATATTATAATAAGTCACAGACTCAAGATGTCATCACCGAATAAATTTCACAAAACAAGGAGAGAAAGGGGGAGGGGAGGGGAAAACAAGAAATAATAAATAATAATGATAATTTGTGCCTCCGAGCAATAAGGAAAAAAAAAAAAATTTCATTCGAGGACGTTTCCTTTTTATTTTTGTTTTCCAGAAAGAAAAACTGGAGAATTGATAAAAGATGAGTTAGTGATAGTATATATATATAAAAAGTAAAGACGACAAACATTATCGGACGTGTCATTAGAGAGTATCTAACATACCTATACAACCTTGACCCGATCGAACGCTTCTCTCTCTCTCTCTTTCTTTATAGCAAAATGAAAACATTCGATTTGAATCTTTCAAAAGAAGTGAGAGAAAAAAAAAACAAAAGGGGCGTCGTCCTTGGCATTTAAAAATTTGTTTTTCTTATATTAAACCCTTGCACCGACTCTAATTTTTTTTTAATAAAAATTTATTCGCAACATTATTATTATTATTATTATTATTATTATTATTATTATTAATTATTTTCTTTGTTCTTTCTTTTGGAATTTGTTTTAAAAAAAAACAAACCGTTAATTTAACGATTAAAATCTAATCTATCTACCTACTCTCGGGTGACAAATACGAAAAAAAATTTTCTTTAACTTTTCCCGCGTCACGATTCACAGTTATGTAACTCATTTTTTTTTTTCCTATGAGTCAAAGGAAAGTTTCTTTTTTGTACGAAAAAGGAAACGTTAAAAAATTAAAAGACCCGGACAACGTTCGACGATATGATTCAAGTGCATTAATCAAGGTAAAAAAAAAAAAAAATTCGACGGCTTATTTCGGTCGGTTACTTAGAAAGTTGAGAGGGGGGGAGACAGGGAGAGAAAAATTTTTTTTGGTACGGTGTGACTCATTTAAAGAATTTTCTCTCGTTTTATTCCCGAAGGAATCAAAAAAAGGATGAGATTGCGATGTGTGTTGTTGAAGATGCAAAACGCGACCTCCCCCCCCTCTCTCTCTCTCTCTCTCTCTCCCGACGGTATCATCAATTTTAATATAAAAAAAAAATTTACGTAATTCGAATTTTTTTTTACGTAAAATTTAAAAAAAAAGTTGGTCAATCCGGTTACGAATACGCACGCACGCACGCACTCGTAAATATTAATTAATAATTAATGAGCGATAAAATAAAAAAAAAAAAATTATTTCGACATTTTCCTCTTTTTTTTTAACATTTGACCTTTGAAAGAGTGGAAAGGAAAGTAAATGCGATGAGAGAAAAGAGATAGAGAGATAAAGAGAGAAAGAGAGATAGAGAGAGAGAAAGAGAGAGAGAGAGAAAGGACGATGACAAAAAGCGAAAATTTCTATACGTCGTTTCAACGAGTTGTCGTTTTTTTAGTCGATTTGACCTTTTAAAATTCCTTCCCCTCCCCCCAGTGTCCCACCCCCAATTTTTTTTTACTCTGTGCGAAAGGATGTGTTTGTACGCTTTGATTGGAAACAAAATTAAAAAAAAAAAAACGTTTAGAAAAGTTTTAAAAAATTTTTAAAAATTCTCTCTTGAAAGTTTAAATTTTTTTTTTACCACGAGCTTGAAACGTAAAAAAATGTAATAAAAAAAAGAAAAAAAAATTAATTTTTTTGACCTACATTTTACTTCTCATCAAAAAAAGAATTTTTCCGTTTTAATGAAACAAACGCGGCGTTGACAACAAAACGTTCGACTTTTTTCTACATAAAAAACGAAAAACGAAAAACTAGGATATTGTATTACTTATTTCTCTACCGCTTTTACTTTAAAATCAGATTTTCACGCTTTGATGCCAAGAAAATAAACTATTATTATCATTATTTTTTTTCTCGCTACTTTCTTTATGTAAATATAAATAAATTATAATAATAATAGTAATAATAGTAACAAATTTCGCGTTAATTTAAGTTTGTTTGTATGTGCATGTAAACAAAACGTTTTAAACGGGGATTTAAATGGAAGGCGGGAGGGGGGAAAAAAGATTCCGCCATCTTTAATATAAAAAAAATTGAGATTAAAGAAAAAAATTTTTTTTTTCAACTGGAAGAATAAAAATTGTGGAAGAGAAAATACAAAAAAAAAAAAAAAATGAAAAAAAAAAGACTCAAATAGATAAAAACATTAACCTGTCTCTCTCTCTCTCTCTTTGTCTCTCTCTTTATCTGCTCAAAAACTTTAATTGCAATTTTTTTTGCGTAGGAAAAATATTTTAAATAACTAATAATAATAATAATAATAAAATTATTATTGTTATTTTCTTGAACTTAAGCGGAAACCTCGCCCTAAATATTATTATTATCATTATTATTATTATTATTATTATTATTATTATTATTATTATTATTATTATTATTAGGTAAAGTTTTTAGTTTCGGTTCGGGTGAAATCCAGGAATCCCCGCCTTTGACTTTTCATTAAACAAACACCTCGACATTTTTTTTTTTTTTTTAATTTCTATTCGAGAAAAGAAAGAAAGAAAGAAAGAGAAAATTTTCTGGTCTGTCACTCAAAAAAAAAAAAAAAAAACAAACAAAACGAAAATAATAATGATGATAGTAATAATAATAATAATAATAAACCTAAAACGGTTTTTCGACCTAAAAAAATTTTTTTTTTGGTTAAAAAAAAAGTCGAAAAAAAAATTGTTTGCGTTTGTTGGTTTTTTAATTCGAAATTTTTTTTTTCGACTACTACTAAGGGAAATCCATAACAAACATGATTGGATGAAAACAAACAATAACAAACGAAAACAAACGAAAAAAAATCGTGAATTTTTCTTTCTAACAATCGAAACTATTTATTAACAATAAATCATTTCAGTTAATTAATTGATTTCAAGGATCTTCCACCACCACCACCACCACCACCGCCACCAACACCACCATCATCATCATTGTTATCATCATCATCATCATTACTATTATTATTATTTTCTTTTTAAACTCCGCGAGTATGAGCTCTAACAAACAAACAAACATTAGTAATTAAAATTGCATTAGAGTTGAGTTAAAAAAAAAAAAAAAAAAAAAAAAAGAATTGAATTAATTTTTCATTCTTTCTTTCTTTCCATTTTCACTTCTTCGCTTATGAATACAATCGAATAATAATAATAATAATGATAATAATAATGATAGTAACAACAGTTTCAGTATCAATTTGATAAATGAAAACAAAACAAAACAAAAAAAAAAAGAGTGAAAATTAATTGTTTTTTTTCTCGTTTTTTAAACGAGTTAATGTCAATAATTGAATTACATTAAAAAGAGAAAGAAAGAGAGAGAGAGAGAGAGAGAGAGAAAACAAAATTTTAAATGGTCGCATTTCTCCCGCCAAAAAAAAAAAACTTTCATTAATAATAATAATCAATAGAGATAACTTTAGACCAAATCTATTAATTACGATGGACGCGTGTGTGTGTTTATTAAAAATTATAAAAAAGGGGGGAGGGGTGTGGAGGGGGGGAGTAAATTTATTTTACTTAAATTAAAACTAACCCGTGAGAAAAAAAAAAAAAAACTTTCGCATCATCATTAAAAAAAAAAAAAATTCATTTATGTGACAGACGAGTTTAATTTATTCGTCGTTCGTACACACACACACACACGTGTAGCACGTAATTATGTGCGTGTAAGAAAAAAAAGTTTTCTTACAACCGTAAACGTTGCAAAGGATTCACACACACACACACGTATTTATATTAATCATCTATCTATCTATCTCTCTCTCTCTCTCTCGCATTTTTCGGCAACATTAATAACATTCACGAGTAGGAGGAGAGAGAGAGAGAGAGAGTAACAGTAATAAACAACAAAAAAAAAAATTTTGAATATATATTAATAATTCGAATTGGACAAGATTCAGGTAGTATAGGTAGTAACAACATAAGAACAACAACAACAACAACAACAAACAACAACAATAATAATAATGATAATAATTTAAAATAAATTACTCTCAGGTGAATAAATTGAACTTCACGGTGGCCGTTACACAACTTTTTTTTTTTTTTTCTTGATTAATCTTACAGGATTTTTTTTTTTTTAGGGAGAGAAGTAAAAATTGAATGGGGGGAGAAAGAAAGAGAGAGAAAGAGAGAGAGAGAGTTTGGAAAAAACATATATACACTTACATACGCAACAGATACAAACATAGACGATTTTGTTTCGAAACATTTTTTTTAACGCTAAAAATTTCCTTTTATCTAATTTTTTTTTCTTCCTTTTTTTGTTTCCTTTTATTTTTAATGACATTTTAATGTGTTTCGAAACATTTTTTTTTGTTTTCGGAATGTTTTCGATAAGACATTTTAAAACTCATGTTTTTTAATAATAAAAAAAACTTTAGTTGAAATTTTCATTCATAAAAAAAATTTTTTTTTTTATTCCTTTTAAACATTCGAATAGTTAAAACAAACAAACAAAAAAATTACTTTAAGAAAAGCATCTCTCAGCCTCTCTCTCTCTCTCTCTCTTCGTTCTTCTTCCTATTTTGTCTTCTTCTTATACCACACTCGAAACACCAATAATAATAATAATAATAAAAGGTAAAGAAAAAAAATATTACGAACGAAAAACTAAATTGTAATAAAAGTTTCCAAATATAATCCTAAACATTATTATTATTATTATTATTCACCGAAATAAATAAAGTAAAAAAATTAAAAAACTAAAAAATCCCGCTTAAAAAACCAAAACAAAAACAAAACGCACGCGCTCACGCACACGCATTAAAAAATAAAAAAAAAAATAAAAATGAATGTTGTTACACACTCGGAATCACAATGCCAACTGGCATGGAATGAACGCTAGCAACAAACAAAAAAAAAAAAAACTAAAAAAATGTTTACACAAAAGCTAAGTAGGTGGAATTATTTCGTATCTTTGTAATAGAATCATTCCTTTTTTGGTATAAAAATTTTTCGAATCCGTTCGGATCGTTAAAAAAGTTAAAAAGTAAGTTCATTCAACGAATCCACCAAATTTCCTTTTATTTTTTTCTTTAAAAAAAAAAAAAAATTAAAATAAAACAATCCTGCCAACATTTTACGACAAAAAAAACAAAATTTGGGTCATTAACCATAAACTTTTTTTTTTTTTTCGAAAATCGGCGGTCGAGTTTAATCGAAAAAATATTCAAAAAAAAAAATTTCGTCATTTCCGACATTTCGATATCGTTATCGTATCGATTCTCATTCTTCTTCTTCCTATTTAATAATTAATTAATTAATTAATTTCCGGTGTGCGAACGAATAAAAAAAAAAATTATAACAACGAAAAAATTCATTATTTAATTTTCCTTTCTAATTTTAATAAATAATTTTTTAACGGCGAACATTATTTTATTTATTTTTTTTTTTTTTACGACTTAAATGGTTATTAAAAAAAAAAATTTCACGCACTTCCGGTGTGCGTGTGCGTGCGCAAGCGCGCGCATTTCAATAAATTTTTCTTTTCCGTTTCGTTTCCCTTTTTTTTTTCGCAAATCATCACGCACGATTTTAAAACGAAATTTTTTTTATTATCAATTTTCCATAGAGTAAATAAACGAATTTATCAACAAATGCACAAATTAATTATTATAACATCTTCAAGCGTTTATAAAGAAAAAAAATTCAAGGATGGAATTTGAGTATATCCAAACCCGTTGACGATAGCCGAAAAGAAAGAAAAAGAAAGAAAGAGATAGTGAGAAAGAGAGAGAGAGAGAGGGAGGGAGAAAACTTTTATGAAAACTAATCGAATGTTAAATACGATTTTATTCGTTAAAAAAAAAAAAAAAACACTTGGCAATCATGACTCAAATTCAATTTCATATTAAAAAAAAAAAAATTTAGATCAAAACGTAAAACGTGACTTTAGATGTTATGTAGATCGTGACACGTAAAAAAAAAAAAAAAAAACTCGACAACACTTCCGATTTATTGAATGCGGATGAGGAGAAAAAAGGGGGCAAACAACAAAACAAACGAACAAACAAACAAAAAAGAAATTGTTTTTTTCGAATTTTCTACTTTCGACGAAAAGTTATAACGATAATAAGGAATGATTTACTCTTTACAAAGAAAAACTTTTTCGCGAGGGAAAAGCATGAAAAATGAGAGAGAGTGTGTGAGAGAGAGAGAAAATAAAAAAAAAAAACAAAAAAAAAACTCACCGAATTTGATTGAGATTTTTCGACATTTTTTCATTTTGTGATGAAGTTAAAGAGTCATCGTCACCAATCCCAGTCCCACAGCCGATTTTATTATTATTATTATTAATAATTTTTTCTTCGTGATTTCCGCCGCCTGAAACTCCTGACACTTGTTCGACTTTTTGCAATATGGCAGCCAAATTAGATCCTAAAACGTTGTTGGATTTTTCTTTTTTCTCTTGTTTTTCCGAACGTACCGATGGAAATTTTTTACCAAAAGAAGATTGTTTCAATATGCTTTTCAATTCGGAAACGAGAGCGATGGATTTTTCATTTCCCGCCATAGGATTTTTTATTTTTTTCGAACATTCTTTTTCCGTTTTTTCTTCGTCCGAAGAATAAGATGAAGAAGAAGAAGAAGAACAAGTTCCGCTTCCGTTACTTTTTTCGATTTCCTCTACATTTTTTAATTTTTCTTTTAGATTTTCCGACGGCGACGACGATGACGACGACGCAGACTTTTTTAAAATGCTTTTTAATTGATTTGAATTTTCCGTTGTAGCAGACGATGTTGTTTTCTTTATCTCCGAGAACTGATTAACTTTATCGTCCTTATCTGATTAATCCCAAGTAAAAAAAAAAAAAAAAAAAACATATTAATAATAATAATAATAATTTTTACTTTTGAAATGTTAAGAAAAAAAATAAAAGAAAGGATTAAAAGCGTTACGTTATTTTTTTCCTTTTCATTTTTTTTTTTTTCTTCTGCTTCCACTCTCCCTCTTTTCTTTTATTATTACCATCATTATTATTACCATTATTAATATTATTTTAATAATTAAAAACGATAAAAATAATTCACCATGACTTTTGCCATACGTATATATATATAAATAAAAACATGAACCAACCTCTTCTTTTTATAAAATCTTCTCCAGTTTTAACATTATTATCATTATTATTTTCTTTCGTGTTTGATTGTCTTATATATCTGGCCGTTTCTACTTCTATCGTGGTTACCGGTTGAGTTTGAAATCTAGGACGTCGAGGTTTTACAATCGGTTGTTTGTAATCCGCCGACGACGTCACAGAGGATTCGAACAAACGAAGACGATCCTTGTAACTCAAAGACGAAAGTTCATCCTCGTAATTGCTGCTCCCTGAAAAATCAAAAAAAAAAAAAAAAAAAAAAAAATTTTCACGTTATACTCCGACGATCAATAAATACCCTAATGTTGATGATGATGATGATAATAAATGGTACGTAAACATACTAACCGTCATTTTTAGAATCTTCTCCGTTTGAATCTTTTGATTTTTTTTGCATGGCAAGTTCGACATCGGTTGCAGACACGGGTTGGGTGTGATACCTCGTACCGGAAGATTCAACACGTCTTCTATCTCTACGTTTGCAACAAGCCGAAGTACTACTACTACTTCCTACAACGGAAGAAAGGAAATAAACAATGAAGGAAAAAAAAAAATATTGAAAAATGCGTCACACTTTTTTCTCTAATCATCCATTAATTTACCTTTGTTGCTCATTTTTTTTCCCTCCTCACCGTCTTCGAAATTTAAATTTTCTTCTTCTAATTTTATCGATTCTTTATAATTTTCTTCGGTGATTTTATCAATGGTTTCCACGAGATTTATGTCGGAAAATTTTTTCACACAAGAATTCAATGATGAATTGATATCATCATCATCATCATCATCATCCTCCCCGATTATGTTGTTTTCTCTTTTGTTATTATCGTCGACGATACGAAATTGAGATTCTTGTTGTTTTTGTTTTTGTTCTTTTTGTTCTTGTTGTTGTTGTTCTTCACCACCAACACCAACACCGATGACATCCTCCTCCTCCTCGTCGTCGTCAAACTCGCGATCGTTTTTATTATTTTCCCCAAACAAATTCAAACTTTCTACGATTTCTTCTTCTTCTTTTTTATTATTATTATTACCACTGGAATCCGATAATGATGATGATGTAATATTATAAGACGTCGAATCCGATGTCAAAGGTGAATTTTTATTAACCTTTGATTCTTGATTTTTAGTTAAATAACTGTAAATTACGATCGAGAGAGAGAGAGAGAAGAAAAATATTAATAATAATAATAATAATAATAATAATAAAACACAACGTATATTATTTAATTTTTTAAATTTCTCTTTGACGCGTTATATAAAAATAAAAAAAATTTTCCCGCAGAATCTCGAAAACTAAAAACTAAAAAAAAAAAAAAAAAAAAAATCTTTTCGGACGTTTTTTTTTTTTTAAAAACTCTTGGATCGGTGACAAGAAAAAAAAAAATGTTTTCAGCAAATATCATTATTATTATTATTATTATTGAGGTCTTTTCGATCTAAAATTAAAAATTATAAAAATTGGCTTTGTGGCGTGTAACTAAATTAAAAACTTTTGCATTTTTTTTTCTTTTTCCTTTTTCCCTTTTGTTAAACGTTTCATTTTTTCTCGTCTGTTTGTTTTCTACAAACACACGCACACACTCTAAAAAGCTTTTTCGTTAAAATATATATTTTTATTTATTTATTGATTTCGTTACCGAAATCTTTAAAAACAACCAACAAAAACAAAAATAGAAGTGACGTTCATTTTTTTTTTTTATTTAAACGGTTTCGTCTTTTTTCCAACTAGAAAAATTCAATCGTCATGTAATTGTTGTTTACTTAAACAAACATAAAAACATAAAAAACTCTCACGTCGATGAAAAAAAAAAAAAAAAGAAAAATATACTTGGTTTTTTTTTTTTTTTTTGTCTTTCCGGCATTGGAATAACAAAAAAAAAGTCATTGTGGTTTATTTTAGGCTTAACAACCAAAAATAATAATAATAATAATGATAAAACGGTAGCAAATTCATCCATTTCCGGTAACACAAACAAGGGTATCGCTGTGAGTGAGAAAGAGATAAAGCATGAATTTTTTTTTGTTATCGATTTCTTTCTTTCTTTTTTTTTCGTCAAAATGATAAAATATGTTCTTATGCGAACTTGTCAAATTTTTCCTTTAAAAAACAGAAAAAACCTTAAAATAGAAAATTTGAGGGGAGGAGGGAGGGGAGGGAGCGAAACGTCACACGGGGAGGAGAGACGAGGGGAAGGGAGGAGCACTTGTGCTCCCAACTTTCATTTATCTTAAAAATTTTCGCGCCAAAAGATTTTAAAATCGTTTAACTGACTAAATTATAGAATTGAAGCCTCCGTTTCCGGTTTTTAATCGAAAAAACGGAAGTAAACGATATTAATTAAATAATTAATGATGAAGAAAAAAAAAAAATGTCGTTGAGTAAATCGTGACAAACATCAAACGCCATTTCGATCGTTTCTCCTTTTTTTTTTTTTTTGTTTGTTTCCGTTTTATTTTTAACGCATCAAATTTCAAATTTTAAAAAATGAATCAGAAAAACAAAAATAATAATAATAATAATTGGATGATGATGATGATGATGATGGCGATTGCTCGCGATGAATGATTCACGTATTTATTAATCATAAAAACCTGAACGTTAAAATCGATAAATAAATAAAAAATTTTTTTTTTTTCAATTAAAAACCCGATCGATCGATCGATCAAAATCAATTCAAAACAAAAAACAATAAATTCGATTTTGCAATTACTAATTAATAATCATTAAATTTGAAAATAATTAATTTTATTGTTTCTGCCACGATAAAAAAAAACAAAAACAAATTTGCTACCGTTTAAATCCCCCTTCTCCCCATTTCAGTCCCTTTCCTCCCCCCCCCAAAAAAAAAACAAGAAAAATTACTCTCCGTCGGTCATTGATTGATTATTTTAAAAAAAAAAAAAATTTTTTTTTACTTTTGTTCTCGTCACGTGATTTTTTAAAATGCTATTAATGATAATAATAATAGGTATAAACATGTAATTTTCTTACCTTTTTTCATCCGGTACTTGTTCGAGTGGATCATCCACGGTTTTGCCAACATCAGAATCGGAAAAATTCGATTGATTGACATCCGATGAATCCGAATATAAAACATTATCTGCGGCAGAAGGTGGGGAATGAAGATTATCAATCCCTTCTTGATTGGTGGATTCGGAATCCCGAAGAAAAACTTCCGGATCCCCGGATTCAAGATTCGGATTTTTCACGTCTTCAAATTTCAAATGTGTTTTTTTCAAAGGTTCCACTTCTGTTTTTTTAAATTCCTCCTCGAAATTTTTAACGTAAAAAGGTTGAAATTCCAAAGATCTTCTTTTAACGAAAACGTCGGTCACGTGGTTGGTCGTTGCTTCCGATAATGAACGCGGCCTGTTAAGTATTCTTATGTTTAATGAAATTTCATCATCATCATCATCATCATCGTGGTTTCCGTTGAAAAAATCAAACATTTTCGAACGGCTGTTTTCTCTTTTTAAAATGGGTTTGGCTGGTTCCACGTCAAAATTCGAAAACAGTAAACTTTTCCGAATTTTAAATTCTTCCGCATCTTCCAAAGAAGGTATTCTAGAACTCGTTTTCAAAATGGGTTTCTTGGGTTTTTCCTCTCCGTCTTCTCCCTCCAAACTTGATTTTTTCTTCAATATCGATTTGGGAAGTTCGGCAAGTGATAAATCGGAAGTGCTGTGTTCTTCAGAAGATGATTTTTTCTTCAATATCGGTCTGACGTTATCCGACGTCAGTTGTATGTCGGAGATCCCTTCCGTCGCGGCAAGAATAACATTATCCGATATTTTAACGTGAGGTTGAAACGAATTAACGATGGGATTCAATTTTTTCTTTAATATTCCCTGAGGTTCGACGAATAATCCGACGTTCGTTGTTACATCCTCAAATTCTTCTTCTTTACTGCATTTTCGTTTTAAAATCCCCTGAGGGATTCCCGCCTCGGGCGAACGAGATCTTCTTCTCAATTCTTCCATCGAAGATCTCCTTTGATTTTTCAATATCGATTTAAAATCCGTTAGATTCGCATCGGAGGAATTGCTTCTCTTTCTTAAAACTTCGCTCTCGTCTAAACTCCTTCTTTTTTTAAGTATCCCTTGTTTTTTAGAATCCGAACAATCTTTTTTTATTGCGGACGGAGAAAACGTCACGGGCGGCGGTGAATTCGAATGCGTTTCATCGTCGAGTGAAAAAGATTTTCTTTTCAATATCGAAACCGGTTTTCCTTTTTCCTTTTGTTTGTTTTCGATTTTCGAAATCGACTGAGTCGTTTTATTTTTTAATATCGACGACGGTTTCACGTAATTATTTTCAACTTTGGCTTTTCTATTCGGTTTTAAGTCGTCAAATTTTGGCGATTCTCTTGCCGATGACGTGGATCTATTCAGCTTTGACGTCGATAACAAAGACGAAGATCTATTATTGAACACATCCGATTTGATCCGAGATTGCACGGATGAAATTTTTCTATTCGGCGAAACTAAATTTCTTACAGAACTATTAGAAAATGGGATTTTAACATTTTCAATTTGCGGCGACGATTCTTTTTCCTTACTCGAACCGCAGACATTTTTACAATCGTTTAATATCACAGAATTTAAGGGCGAAGATTGTTTTTCTAAGGACGACAACCTTTGAAAAACTCCTTTCCCCGTTGTATTTCCCTGAGTTTTTTTACTTTTTTTATTTATTTCATCTAATCGACTGATCATTTTCAATGTGGAAGCCGCTAATATTTCTGCACGAGTGGCAACATCCATGGATTTCGTGTTCGCCGTCGTAGTCCTACCGTGATTTCTAACCGTCATCGTACCTTCTTTCTGTTGTTGACTCGAATAAGAAGAATCGGATTTGCTACCGCCGGGAAGTATTCTACCGTTTTCCAAACGAACATTCAACTTCAGAGATTTTTCATTTTGTTGTTTTCTTTTATCATCCGTTAATAAAATGCTCCCTCCTCCTCCCGCATCGTTATTTAAACTTTTTCTTTTGATTGAAGTCAAAGGACTTCTCATGAGTTCCGTTGGAAAAATTTCAACCTCAGAATGAATATTTTTACATTGTCCAACAACCACCGGATTCGACGATGGTGAACCGCATTTTGTTTTATCATCAAAATTTGTGACGTTTGCCGATCGACGACGTCTCACGTTTGAACTTCCTGAAAATAATAATAATAATAATGATAACATTAATTACATTTAATTATTATTTATTTTTCCAAATTAAAAACTAAAATTTCCAAATTTACAAATAGTAAGTAATGAATGAATATTTTGAACCTGGTTTCATATTGTCAGGAAGGACGGGATAAAAAAAAAACTAAAATAAAGGAGAGAATTTAATGGCAACCTTGCCAACGCATTTTTTTTTTTTTTTTTTTGTAGTTACGACTCGATTCCCGAAATAATTTTTTTTTTTTTTTTTTTACGCCATAATTTAATTCTTTTTTAAATTAAATAAATAATATTAAAAAAAAAAAAAATGAAGGAAGTAAAAACAAAAAAAAAGGAGGAAATAAAATAAAAATTTTTTTTTTACTACGTATCAATAATATTTAAAAAACAAATATTTTGGAAGCTGTCAAGGAAAACGACAAAATGCCAAAAACCCAAAAACGATGACTAAATTTACCTTATTTGATGCAATTGCGTGTCACGCGCAATAACAACAACAACAACAACTTCTAGAAAAAAAAAAAAAAATTTTCCATCGAGCAAAAACTTTTTTTTTTTTTTTTTTTAATTTGAATTAAATGGCGTGAAAAAAAAAATTAAATTAAAACACGTAAATCCCATTTATTCAATTATTATTATTATTATTTTTTTTAAAAACAATGTTCAATCATAAACTAAAAAAAATAATAATAAAGAAACTAATAATAATAATAATAATTTTCTTGTTCTTTTTTTTCTTCAGGCTTTAACTTTTCGCTTTGAAACAATTCCAAAATAAATAAATAAATAATAATAATAATAATGATGATGATGATGATGATGATGTTAATTTTTTTTTTTTTTTAATTTTTATTTTTAACTTTTTCATATTTCACAATTTTGTCAGTTTTTTTTTATTTAATTTTATTTTCTTTAAGACTAAACAACGTTTTAAGATTTTTCTCGATGATGATGATGATGATGATGATGATGACGATAATAATAATAATTTAATGTAGGAAAGAAAAGACACAAATCAAAATAAAAAATAGAAAGTAAAAAAGAAAATAAATAAAAAATCGTTTTAAAATTATTCTTATTATTGTTGTTGTTGTTAGTTATTATAAGAAAAAATTAATTAATTAGCGAAAAACCTATTTAAAAAAAAAGGGGGAGGGGTGGGAAAAAAGAAACTACAAAGTATTAAATTGCTAAAAGTCAAACGTACGATATAAAAAGAGAGAGAGAGTGAGAGAGAGAAAACGGAAATAAATTACGTATGGAAAATGTTTGTACGGTTGTAAATAAAAAAAAAAAAATTTCGAAATTCAAAAGGAAAAGGATTTTATATAATACGTATTAATATTCGTTCGTAAGTTCGTTTGTTCGTTCGTTTGTTTGTTTGTTTGTACGTGTGTTATATATTTACCGGGTGAATAAATATCCTCGAAAACACCTTCCGATGTGTGCGATCTATTCAAATGAGATTTCCTTGCCAGACTTTTATCAATTAATTTTTTTTTCGGTGAATTCAACGACGATGATTCCGAACAAGAAGAAATTTTTTGAAAAAAAAAAAAAAAAAAAAAAAACGTTAAAATTATTATTATTATTATTATTATTAACAATTATTAATTATAATTTTTTTTTTAATTGTTTAAAAGTTTAAAAACGAAAAACGCGTAACCTTTGACGGAAACAAAAAAAAATTACTACTACTACTGCTGCTGCTACCACTACCGCAAATACGAAAGGAAATTATTTATTTATAAAATTAATAATAAAAAATAATAATAATAATAATAATAAAGGCACGAACAATAACAACCCTTGGGCCTTTTAAAAAAAAAAAAACCACGTCTCGCTACAGAAATTCTTTCAATAATATAATAATTGATATATATTTTTTTAAATTAAAATTTCCCATCGGCAAGGTTTTATTTTGTTTTTCTTTCTCTCTTTCTCTCTTTCATATCCAACCTTCTCACTCTTCACAATTTTCTACCCCCTTACCGCCACCCCCATCCTCCCTCTTGTACGCTTAATTATTTTTTCACTATTAAAAAACGACCGTTTTGAGGTCGGATAGCACGCACGCACTTTTCCTTTCAATTTTTTTTTTTTTAATTTCATTCATAATCTCATAAGGTACCTCATTACTGTATACCTAATACCTTATTAGTATATACCTAAAAAATTTATCGAAGAAAATCGGCAAACAAACAGTCAGTCACACACTAAGAAAGGGATTGTGATTTGATGAATCAATCAAGTTTCTTTTTTTTTTTATAGACCGCGCGTCATATTTAAAGTTCTAAAACCACGATGAAATTTACAACAATTTTTTATTTCCTGTATTAATACGCCAATATTGCGAAATTATTAAATAAATAATGTGTAAATTTTTTAAATTCGAACTCGTGTGTGCCTGAATCACAACAACAACAACAACAACAACAAATATTTATAGTTTCCTATTTAAAAAAAAAAAAACTACATAAAAAATTTATCCGTAGGTTTTCGCATTGATTAACCGTATCAATATTTGTATATACATGTATGTATATATACAAACAAAAAATTGTTTGTTGTCGATTTAAAAAAAAAAAAAAAACAAGTTTACGTAAATAAAATAAAATGTGATAAAAAAAAAAAAAACATAAGGTTAAATTATATAGTTTCGCTTACTTTGAAAGGTGGTATTCTAGTCGGTTGTTCGTTAATCGTCGACCTGTACATTCCCGCCGAATCCGTATCAGAAGGAGTAGGAGTAGTTTTGCTAGCGGCCCTCAAACGTGAAGCTCTCGTTTCTCTTACATATATGGTCTCTGGTCTGTGGGTTTGATCAACCATTGGCGAACAAGGAGAAGAAGAAGAAGAAGAAGAAAAATTAACCATTTCGCCGATTGTTTCCCTTGTTGTCGCATCATCAGTCTTATTTCCGTCTCTCCTTGGTAAATGATTATTATTATTATTATTATTATTATGACGACGGGGGGATTCGTCGCCGAATGGCACTTGGTTATCGGAAAATTGACTATTTAATAATAATAATTTTGAATTTATATTTAAACGATCTCGAATTTCATCTCCTTTCCAATCATCCTTTTTACGTGTCGATTTAAATGATTTGGCCGGTGAAAATCTTTTCGACGTGAATTTTCCTAAAATGTTGCAGGTTTCGTTTTTACGAATTTCATCTTGTCCACCACCACCACCACATCCTCTCCTGTTCCCATCATCCTCGCATCCTTTTCTTTCCTTTCCTCTCGGTGAATTTTGTGCGTTCATCATCATCGTCGTTGTCGTCGTCGTCGTCGTCGTCGTGTTTCTCATTGTTTTGTCCATCGTGTATTTATTCTTTTCTTTTTTTTCAAGTGGCGATAACATTTTTTTTTTTAACATTAAGATTTACTACGGTTGTTGAAATTTTTTTTATATTTTTTATTATTATTATTATTTTTATTATTATTATTAATTTTACGTGGATGAATCATTTGGATATATTCCGATTTCTGCAACAAAACAAAAATAAAATAAAAGTTAATTTTACATTAAAATTAAAAAAATGAAAAAATTCGTGATACTCTCAAGGTTAATAAATTTATTTATTAATTTAATTAATTAATTAATTAATTAATAACGTATCGATTTTTGAAAATAAATCAGACGAAAAAAATAAAATCCATCCATTTATCCCACGTAACGCCATAAAATTTATTTGTTTTAACATGAGTAAACGAAATCATAAAGAATTTTTAAACAAATAATCTAATCAATGAACGACAAATGCGTCAACTTTCATTATTATTATTATTATTATTATTATTATTATTATTATTATTATTATTATTCTCTCGTACAATAATAAGTAATTTCGGGTTAGGGTATAGGAAAAGAGAGAGAGAGAGAAAAACACGATTGACTGACTCATGTACAAGAACAACAAATAAATTTTAACTTTTTTTTTTTTTTTTTTTTGTTTAAAAAATATTCGTTTACGTTCCGCACACAATTTATTATTATTATTATTAATATTTTTTAAACAACAAACGTGGCAAAAACATTAACAAATTAAACATTTAATTAACGTCTCCCTTAAATAATAATAATGATGATGATGACGATGACGATTACTCGAAATTTCTTTTCTTTTTAAGGTTTTAAAAATGTCAAAAAATAAAATAAAATAATAATAATAATAATAATACTTGAGCTGACAATGACCAACTCTTGGTTTAAATAATAATAATAATAATAATTATTATTATTATTATTCTTTCTCATTGAGTATTGTTTGGTTACTTTACATAGTTCTAAGAATTTTTTTTTTTACAATAAATTGTAATTTTGTCATCCATTGATCACCAAATGCAAAAAAAAATGAGGAGACCTTAATATCACATTTGAGGAATCAAAAAAATTGATTCGAGGACGTTGAATTCTAATACAATGCTCTTTTTTTCTCTAAACCCCTCCCCATCCCCCCCCCTAAGTCACTCTCGTATTACAATCATCATTATTATTAATATAAAATGATTAATTTTATTAAATGTGAAAATATTATAAGATTCGACTAAGAAAAAGATTTCGGGCGGAATGCCAATGAATTTTTTTTTTTTTTTTTTTAACATTTAGCTCGTTTCAAATAAAAAAAAAAAAAGCACAAAACTGATAACAGCCAAGTTTATACAACAACAACAACAACCGAAACAACAACAACAACAACAAACGGTTCGCGTATTAATTTAAAATAAGAGATGAACCAAAACAGAAATGCAACAATTTCGTGTGCGTGTGATTAAAAAAAAAAATTATTTTCTGGCAACGTTTTAAACTTTTCTTTTTAAACATTAAAATAATAATAATAATAATAATAATAAAACTTATTCGAATTTTTTTTTGAAAATTTAAATCCCGGGATTTTACATTTCTCTCTCTCTCCCTCTCTTTTTTTTAAACGTTCAAACCTCTGATGTCATTCACTTATTTATTCCATGTAAAAAAAAAAAACTATTAAAAAAAATCCGCAATAATAATAATAATAATAATAATAATAATAATAATAATAATAATAATAATAATAATCATTAATACTCCACATCGTTAAGAATTAAATATAATAAAAAAAAAAAAAAAAAAAAAAAAAAGTTGAATCGAACCCACAACTCTCTCCTCCTCCTCGGTTTTTTTTTTTTTTAAGTTCGTAATAAACTTATTACGATAAGTAACCGTTATCCGAAGAGTTTTTAATGGCCATCTTTTTTCTTTTCTTTCTTTCCACAACGATTAAATATAACTTTGTGAACAATAATAATAATAATAAGTGTTTTATTATTATCATTTTAAGGTTTTTTTTTTTTCGTGACACGAAAAATAATCAAAGAAAAAGAAGAATTATTAATTGTTTGAATAAATAGTAATCGATAAAATCGACCTTAATAAAGTCCATAATTCCAAGGTCATCGACTATTTTCCAAAAAAAAAAAAAAAAAAGAATTCTTAACGGTCGTTTTATGAAAGATTATGTATGATTTAAATTCGAATTTTCTTTTTTTTTTTTAAACTAGACAAAATAATAAAGAAAAATAAAAAGAAAAAAAATTTTTTTTCTTTTTCTTTTTTTTTTTCTCCCTCTTTTTCTTTTTCTTTATTATTTTGTCTAGTTTAAAAAAAATAAACTTACAAGCCTACTTATCATTATTATCATTTAAATTATTGTCACTTATACATCTTTTGACGTTTACATAATAAATAAATAAATAAATAAATAATCAAATTGGGTAACTTATTTTCACATAAGTGTGCTTACATCCTTGAATGCAATCCTTCCCGTTTGTTGATATCGATATTATTATTATTATTATTATTAATTTGTTAAAACATAACAACACAAAACGGCAGTTAATAAATAATCCACACACGTTCACGTTTTTTTTTCTATTTTTTTTTTTTTTTTTTACAAACAACCATCCACCATCCGTACAAACAAAACAAAACAAAACAAAACTACTACGAGTAGTAGAATGCAGCGCATACTACTTTCGTACGGCGCGACCATCTGGTTCCGTCGCTTGAAAAGAAATAATAACTCAACTGTTTTACCAACATCGAAACTTTGTTTTCCGCGACTCTAACGACATCTATTGTGCGTTTACTGAAACATTTTCTTTCCCTCCCCGTTTGAAAACGTTTTTTCGAGGTCGTTCGTTTCCTTTTAATTTTTAAAAATGAGAGGGAGAGAGAGAGGGTACGCGGCCGCGACGGGTGAGAGAGAGAGAGAAAAAAGGTAAGATCATCTCATTAATATATATATATGGACCACATGAATCAATCAAATTTAACGTGATAATTTATTTATTAATAAATTCACGTCATCATCCATAAATAAATAAGTTTTTTTTTACCCAATTGAAAAAGAAAAGAAAATAAAATAATTAACAAAAAATTAATAATTAATTATATAAAACTTATAATAATAATAATAATAATTTATCATAGATATTTTACATAATATTTTTACACAATAATTTAATACCGACTCATCCCATCTGATTTCCTCCCCCCCCCCAAAAAAAAAAAAGATTTTCTTATAAACAATAATTTTTGATTATTAAATTTAAAAACCATTTTTACTTTAACCCCTCCCCTCTTTCTCCACCTCCCCACCTCTTTCCAAATAAAAAGAAATTTTTTTTTTTTTTTTTTTTTTGTAAATAATGAAAACTTTATCAGGTATGTATCGTAATGATGCATCGAAAATTATTCCGACGCTAAAAATAAAAATAAATAAATAAATAGTAATAATAATTGTACCTGTATGCGAATACCAGAATAATATATATGTGTATATATGTTTATCAGAGAGATTTACGTAAAGGTATGATGGACGTCGAAACAGGTACGAAAATTACACGAAACCAAATCCTGTAATGAAAAGAAAACAAAAAATAAATAAATAAATAAAATTTATGTTTATATATTTAAAATATTATTTTTGACAGGTGATTGAATGAAAAAAAAAACTTTTCCACCTGTTTTCTTAATACCTTGAATAAAATTAAACAAAAACCTACGATGATAATAATAATAACAACAACGTATTAATAAATCTTATAATTTCCAAAAAAAAAAAAAAAATTATGCAATACAAAAAATTAAAGCAAAAGAAAAGTAATGATAATAATAATAATAATCGTACGCACGACCTTTTTTAATTTATGTGAAAAACCTGATTTTAAATGTTTGTTGCATAATAATAATAATAATAACAATGAATTTTTTACATTTTTATACGTTTTATTATGCAACAACAAAATAAACAAACGTAGAAATTATTTTTTTCTTATGTTTTTTTTTCAACGATTATGATAATAACAAACGATGTAAACAAACAAACAAACAAACAAAAAAAAATTATTTTAATTAATTACACTATTGACACTTTTTTTTTCTATAATGCAGATATTTTTATGTACATAAAATATTTATTTTTTTTTTTTATACGATGTGTTTTTGTAATAAAAACAAACAAAACGTATACACAACAATTACATATCGTAATAAAAATATATACAATTTAAACATAATTAAATGTTGCCAATGTTGAGGTATAAAATGTGATAAACATAATACAAAACAAAAAACATTTTTATGTTTTATGTTTTTATTAATTGTAAACTCACGTGAAAGTGAGCCAAAAAAATGAAAGTTGGTCACAAATTAAATTTTTTTATTAACTTTATAAAACTTTTTAATAAATAAAAAAGAAACAATAAGTTTGCAAAATGAAAAACGTTTAAACGATACAAACTTTAATTAAAAACAACAATCACAACAAACAACAACAGCTTGTTGAAATAATGATAATAATGACTAATTACTATTAAAAATTTGTATTTTATATTGTTCTCTCTCTTGTGTTTTTTTTTTTTTTTAATGGATGAAATCGGATTGAATTGTTTTTTTTTTTTGCTTTTCTAATTAACATCCGGATATTTACCAAAAAACCATAAAATGTTATTATTATTATTATTATTATTATTATTATTATTATTATTATTATTATTATTATTATTATTAATCTTTACACAAAATGTTTTAGTAGTCAAATAAAATTCGTTAACCTACACTTGAAAGGCACACATTTCATTAACTAATAATAGCAATAGCAATAATAATAATAATAATTTACAGTTATATACTTTCTTTTGTAAGAATTTTATTTTTATTAATTAATAAATAATTAATAATGTTTTTCCATTTTCTTCGTTTTTCCATTTTTATTTTCATTTTCTTCGTATTTTCTCAACTTCCTTTTTCTTTTTTCCCCCTAAAAACTTCTTTAAAGGTTTCTCTCAACAACACATTCTCGTTCCTGAACATAATTTAAAAAAAAAAAAAGAAAATAATAATAATTATAAAGGTCAATGAACTTTTATTTTTAATCAAACAAAACAAAACAAATTTATTTATATATATATATATATATAATATATACCCCATATATATATATATATATATATATATATATATATGGGGTATTATTTAAACATTTAATTTACAACACAACATGCATTCAAATCCTCCATTTTTTTTTTTTTTTTACTTCCTTTATTTCTGATGAGATGTGGAGGGGAGGGGGGGGGCTGGCGGGGGAAGGTCGTTAATCAAATCCAGGTTTTTAAATAAAAAAAAAAACACTCAAAAACAAAATATACAAACGATAAAATAAAATAATAAAAAAAAATAAAAAATAAAATTTATTTCAAACAAACTTTCATAACAAAATAAAAATAAAAAAATAATAAGACAAAACTAAACATGCATTTTATTTATTTATTTATTACTATTATTATCTATTTAAATTCTAATAAACTTATAATAGTGATGATAACATTAATGATAATAATAATAATAATACTAATACTAATATATATATATATATACAAAATATACCTGTATATGTATATATATATACATACATACGTATTAATTTTTATACATTGGTAAATTTTTTTTTCCTTTTATTAACAATAATAAACGACAATTTAATTAAACGTTAACAATTATGATAATGATAATGATAATGATAATGATGATAAAATAAACGATGTTACACAAAAAAAAAAAATTAAACGAACGAACGATATATATATATATAATTATTTCATTATTAAGCTTATATTAAACGCAATTAAACATTCGGATAAGGAACAGGAAGAGAGAGGGAGAGAAATGGACATTCAGTACCGTGGTAAGGATTTTGTACAACATGACCACGTGTTCGCACGCACGCACCCAAGTCACAAACGCATGCTCCACGCGTTATCTAAACGCGGCTCGAGGTTTTGAAATTGAAATTATTATTATTATTATTATTATTACGGTAAAATGAAAAAAAAAGAAAAGTCGTGGGGATAATAGGACTTATCATAAGACTAAAAAGGCGATTATCGACATGACAGCAATTACAATGCCAAGAGCCGTCGTGACGTCCCAATCTTGGAGATGAAATGCAAAAGCAAGAGCGTACGAACATGCTAACCAAACATTAGAACTTAAATTCGTCATTTTCTTTACCTCACCTTCTTCACCTTTGCTAGAACTTTGACAACATCTTTCGTGACGACGGGTGGTGGTGGTGACGATTCTTCTTTCTCTGTCGTTGCTGCTGCCGCTGCTGCTGCTGCTGCCGCTACAGTCGTTATTAAAACTTTTACGACGATTGTTATTAACAACATTAATATTATCGTCATCGGTAATATCCATTTTTTTTTGATCTTTTGAAAAAGAATAGGCCGAATAACGTGAATTTGTCGATTTTGTCGCCGCTAATGTTTCCTCACTCGTGCGCGACATTTTTTCTTTGGCTTTTTTTGTACTCAAATTATTAACTTCGTCGTGAATTTTTTCAAATTCTCGTTCCACGTCCGATGCGGGTTCTTCGATCGTTTTTTTAACATTCGTCACGTTAATATTGTTACCGCCGTTTATGCAAAATGATTTTTTAACGCTCGACGTTTCTTCTTCTAATTTGTTGTTGTTGCTGTTGTCGTCGTCTACTTTTTCTTCTTTCTCATTCGATTTAATTAATTTACAATTGTATTCGTAAACTTGTTGAAAACAAGCGTCAGAGCCGTTAATCGATTTCTTTTCGCTTTCCGATAATTCTTCGTTTAAATGTTGTTCCACTTCCACGCTGTGTAATATTTCCGACAAATCCGTCGTCGTCGTCGTCGTCGTCACTTTGTCGAAACCTGTTTGTTTTTCATCATTCGTAGAAAAGGAATTCGATTCAGGCGACGGAACGACGTTTTCCATTTTCGCCGCCTTCCTAGAAGAAATAATATTTTTTTCATTATCGATTCCTAAAACTTTAACACTCGGCTCGATTGGAATTTCATTGAAATCTTCTCGGCGTGTATTTCCGGATTTATGTTCTTTTTCACGATAAGAATCATCGGCGGAGGATTTCCATTTTGTCAAATGTAATTTATTCGAAATTAAATTCAATAAATCATCATCATCATCATCATCATTATTATTATTCTTGGTAGAATATTGACTTTGTCTTTTCGATCGTCTTCGTTCTAAAGAATTTGTTTTTCTTGTTTCTTCTTTTGGTTCGTTGGCGTTTGACAATGAAAGATTTCTACGTCTTTTCGTTTTACTACCATTGTTGAATGAATTTTTATTTTTATTCACATCTATTACAATTTCTGACATTTGATTTTCTTTTGTGCGTGGGACGCAACCATCATTATTATCATCGATTGAATTTTCCCTTTTCATTTTTTTCAAATCGTCCAATTGTTTTTCTAAATCTTGACTGGCACTTTTTGCTTCTTTGGCTAATGCTGTAAGAAGATTTTCCAATTGTTCTTCGTCGACCGAATAATCGCCGACGTTTTCTTTAAATGGATTTCCCTGAAGTGACGACGCCGGAATTGCAGCAGGATATTTTGACAATTCTACAACGGGAGACCGAAATTTTTTTTCCGTTATTTTAACCGTGTCTTCGATACATCCGTTCGAATCCGTTTTTCCAGGTTCGTTACGTTTGTTGTTGTTATCGTTTGCTCCAGCGAGAGAATTTTTACTTCTTCTCGACGATGGCGCTTCGGAATAAGCTTCATTCGGATTTTGTGATGCTTTTGTCCAGCTTAAACTTTTGTTTATTTTATCCGGTTTTTGAGAAACCTCGAAAAATTCCGCTCTTTTTGTATTCTTCCCCTCTTTTAATTCTTTCAGTCTTTTTTCCAAACAACTTTTATTCGTGAGGTCGGTTAAACTTTGAGTTTTTTCGCTGGTTTTCGAAATTAAATCACCGCCGACGCCGTCGACTTCGTCATCCGCGTACGATAAATTTTCCTTATGCATTATATTATATATATTTGCCGACAAAGATCGAACGGCTCTTTTTTTTAGAAAATTATCATTTCCCGTTTTTCCCAAATTTAAATCGCTGCTCGCTTTAGAATCTTTTCTTAAATTTCTAAAAGCGAGATCATCTTTGACGACATCCGGCGTTTTGCTCGATGTAAAAGTCGGTCGAAATCTATTTTTCGGAGTCGCGTGGAGATAATCCGAATTAGCAGCCGGCGCGATAACTCCGATCGGTATTCCAAAAGGCGGTTGAGGATCTTGTATTTTTAACGTGCTGTTAGCATGACGAATGTTTCTAAAAACAACGTCATCGTAAGTGACATCCGGTTCGTTTACCGGAGATTCTTTTCTAGAGTTTGGACTAACTCCAAGGACGGGTGACAATCCCGAACTAGAACGCAAATAGCTGGGCAAAGGAAATTTTTTACTGTCTTGACGATCCTTTGTGTTCAATCTTCTGAAAGCCATGTCGTCGCACATTTTATCTGGTATCCCCGATCTCCTTTGTGAAACGGCTTTTGATTTTAATCCCGGAGCATTCTCCGAAAAGCTCCTAGAAATCGGTTTATTGTTATGTATATAATCCGTTTCACTTTTAAAACTTTGAATTCTATTCATTGTCACAACGGGATCGTATTCTTTTGCCTTGTCACATGTGCGAAACGCCGGAAAATCACGCCTTTCGGCTCTATCTGCTAGATCTTCATCTTTTAATTTTAAACTATTATATATTACTTCCAATTCATTTAGAGCGTCATCAAGATTTCCATTTTGTGCAGTAATAGTCGTTTTATTATTTTCTTCTTCTTCTTTAAGTTTTTGGCACTTTTGAAGTCTTTTTAAAACATCTTCTTTCGATAATTGCCGGACGGGAGGTTCCGGTGGAATTTTACTCATTTTTTCAACACTGTATTCCTCTCTGTGCATTTTCGGCTTCGTATTATTTACGGGTGTGTTTTCGCGAAAACCGCCGGCGTTTCTTTCTAAATCTATGGTAACGTCATTAACTTTTTCAGGTTTGGTAATCGGTTTTTCAAGTGTTTTAATCACGATGTCCACCGACCTGGGACTGTTCGATCGAGACCCATTAGTTTTTATGGCATTGCTATTAATTGGAGGTTTTAGAGAGTGAGCATTTCCCAAAGAATTTTCCGCATTATTATGCAGCTGTGAATTATTTTTCAAAATCATTTCTCGGTCTCTTTGTTTCCAAAATTCGGAAGCGCTAACGGTCGGGCTTTCGGGTGGTAAATTTTCCGTCGCGTTCGTCGCCCCAGATTCTGGTAAATATGAATTTTCCGAATTTATAGCCGGATGACACGTTATGTGAATCGGATTTCGACTCCTGGGATTTTGATCTGCGTAGTAACGAAGAATCGAAGAATTTGGATTTGGCTGTTGTTTATATGATGACTCATCAATTTTATTACCCTGAAAATTTGGCTTTCTCGCCATAAATTTTAAAAAGTTTGAACTGTAAATAGTTGGCTTCGCGTCTGCACCATTTACCACCGGTGACTTAGGGACTCCGTTATCACTCTGAGAATTAAACAAAACTTTTGATTCATTACTATCTGCAGATGCGCTGTACATTTCAGCATTAGGCGAAACACTATTTGGTTTATATCGAGAAAAATTTTGCGTTCTCTGATTGTAAAAAGTTGGTATGTGTTGATAAGAATTTGAACGATTGGGATTTAAATCATTAAAATTTTCAAATGGATTGCAAAAGGAATTTCCGCTCGCAGATCTTCGTACTACGTGCGTTGGCTGCAGTGGAAAGCTGCCAGATTGACTTGAATAAGAAGGCGTTGAGTCCGTTCTATTTTCGGCTACTTCATATTTACACGTTTCAAAACAAGGGCTGCGCTCATTGATTTGTTCGTTATACGTTTTATTTATCCTAATCGATGTTTGAAAATTTTTATTTTTCAAATTCATGCATTTTAATCTGTCATCCACGTAATCGTTTTTAACACAAGGTTTTGGCATTATAGGTAAAGGCACGTGCTCCATGACTTTTCCCTCGTAATAAAGAGGTCTGTTAATTCCGTGATCGGACGAAAAACTTTTTTTCAAATTATTTTCATTCGTTGTTAGCAAACATTCTTCGGAATTTAATTTCGTTCTTTGATTTGCTAAATTTTCCGTTACGCTCATACTTCTTGGCAATTTCGAAAAGTAGTCGTGATTTAAAGGTTGATCCCCTTTAAGCGCGTCATACGTATTTTGATTTCTTTGGGAAAACGTTTTCATCGGATAATTGGTCTCGACGGTGCCGTTTCCGGAAACGTTTCTCGTTTGGTAAACGTTATATACACCAGGAGGAAACGTGCTGGTAGGATAAGAACTTTGAACGTAAGACAAATATTGACGTAATTGTCTTTTTCTATTTCTAGGACTTCTTGACGGACTAGAGCCGGCCGAATAATTTATTAAATTTAATTTTCCTTCTTCGTAATCAGAGGGATCTCGATAAGAACTCCTTCCGGCGTACCTGTAGTTTGACGGAAAGCTTCGACTTCCCTCGAAATCGGATTTAATAACTCTTAAATCGTTTCCTCTAATATTTATAAAATTATTTTCATCTTTGGACAATCTTTTACTTTTTTCAAGGCGCCTGGATCGCCTGTATCCCATATAATCATAATTCATTCTATTCAACGAGGAATTAGAATGATGGGATCCTTCTTCTTCGGAACTGGATTCATCGCATATCAAATCTCTTTTAGCTTCGGCACGAGCCATCATTTCTTTACGATTTTTTCGACCTTCCAAACTCTCACTTCCCCCACTGCTGCGAGATAAATTGGAATCTTGCCGAGAATGTTTAGGAACATTCAACAAGTCTTTATTTGGCTTTGAATTTTCGCTGTTGGATACCGCAGGATGGCGATGAATAAAACGTACTTGATTACACGTTCCGTTGACAATCGGTATTCCCAAATTAGCATTTTCATCGCTCGGGGTACTATTCTTCCGAGAATAATCATTACCGTTTTCCGTAAACCCGCCGTTTGCAACACCCGACTCTTTCACTTGCGGTATAATTACGTCGTACCTATTGGCAGTGCTTCTGGTTTTCAACTTTCTTTTGTCCCTTTTGGATTTTCTCCGAGACAAAAAACCTTTTATTCCTTCATGCCCTGATTCTTCCGACGATTCATCGGAATCTTTTTTGGTTTTCCTTCGAAAGAAACCTCCCAGAGTCCATTTTTTCTCCTTTTTCTTGTCTTTATCATCTTCGTTTTGTTCTTTTCTCGCATCGATGACGTTTTGCGTTTTAATAACATCGTGATTTATCGCATCGAACTGTTCTCTCGATTTATTATTATTATTATTATTAATGTAATTCCTATTCACTTCATTTTGATCAATGTGGTTGACCATTTCATTTCTCATTAACTGATTTTTACGTTTCAACAAATCCTTGTGATAATTGTTTAAATATTGAGAAATACTTCCTTCACTCGATTGGAGACCAGGTTTAGGCCTTGGAGTAGAACTCACTGTCTGCAAGAGAAAAAAAATAAATAAATAAATTCACATAATATATAAACAAAAAATTTTTCTCATATTTTAAAAAAAATGATAATAATAATAATTATTAGCTCAATAGCAGCAGTAGTAGTAAAAGAATTTCAAATTTTTTTTTCTTATGCAACATTTTAAAGAACTAAAAAATATGTATATGGACAAACTAACACGTGAAATAATAATACTAAATTTTACGTAAGCAAATCCGATTGTACAATAACTTTCATCCCTTTTATTATTATTATTATTAAAAAAAAAAAAATTTCAACCACGTTAAAAATCATATCATGTAACTTTTTAACTACGTTTATTGTTTAACAAAAAAAAAAAAAAAAACAAAGAACAATGGCCAACATTAACAAGATTTTCTCAAGAGTACATTAATTTTATTTAACCTACGTCAGTCGCGTGGTAAAAAGTTATGTTAATTTAATTATAAACATATACTATGAAAAAAAAAAAAAAAATTTATGAAAGATTGTTAAGACAATCATTTGAATCTCAATTAACTCAACAACAACAACAACCGTTTAAAACAAAAAAAAAAAAAAATAAGAAAAAAAAATCATTTTAAAAATAACAACAACAACAAGAAAAAAAAAACCATAATAACTCTAATGCCGTATAAAATCCTTTTATGCATTCGACGTTAATTAAAAAAAAAAAAAAAAAAATTTTATTGCACTCTCTACCTATATATATATATATATATATATATATATATATATATATTATATTAATATGTTTTTGTTTTTTAAATGGAAATAAACATAAACATAAACATAAAATAAAATAAAAAATAAAAAAAATCTTTCTTTTTCTTTTTCTTTCTATACGTGCTGCTTAACAAATTTTTTCATATACATGTGACCCCTTTCGTTTTTACTTTTCCTCCTCCTCCTCCTCCCACTCCTCCCAAATTATAATACTTATCGATAAAAAATTTAAACAATTTTTTCACGTGAGAAATTAAAAACAAAAATTCGCAAACAATATATTTATGTAAATTATTTACTTCAAACAGGTTCGTATTAATTACTCACAATTACAATTATTCCTAAATATTGTTACGTTTTTTAATTATTATTATTATTATTACGTATGAATTTTTTATAATAATTTATTTATACATAATTAAACCCCTCTTTTGAAGTTCAATTAAAGTAATTAAATTAAACAAATTCACTGTAAACAAAATTTACGGGAATTAAAATTTAAAAAAAAAAAAAAAAACAAGTTTGGGTTATGTCAGTCAGTTTGTTCGTTGCATCGTTCGATGTATAAAACAACGAAAATAATTAATTAATTAATTTAATTAATTTAATTAACGTGTGACCACAAAAATTATTCAATCGTCCACGTCTGACATTTTCAACAAAAAAAAAAACAAACAACAAACAACCGAAACTAAAAGTATTTTATCAATTAAACAACCCGTTTCGCAATTTACATTTAAAAAATTTTTATTTTCGGACATATTCTTAATTTAAACAAAACAGAAAGAGAGAGAGAGAGAGAGAAAAAATCATTTTAATCATCCAAGTTTTATTTATATCAGAGAGAGTTAAAAACTTTAAAATTTTTCATAGGAATTCGTCACGGTTGCGTCATATTTACCCGATGATACGATTTAAACAAAACAAAAACAAACATTAAAAAAAAAAAAAACGCTACGTATCGAATACCCAACAACAACAACAACGACAACAGCAAAATCAAATCACGTATTAAAAATTTTTTTTATAATAACAGATACCAAAAAATATTTTCGATAAATAATAATAATAATTATAAACAGTAAGCATACTTGTTAACGTACGCGCGCGCGTGTGTGTGTTTGTGTACGTGTGCGTGTGTGTGATAAAATTTAAAAGAAATTATTATCAAAAAGATTTTAAAACGTTTCTTTCCCTTTTTAAAGATAATAAATGCTCGCCTTGTGAATACAAAAACGTTAATTACAAATTATCAACGCGACTCAACCTTATTTTTTTTCGTTCTTTCTTTTTTTAAATGTAAAAAAAACCAACAACAACTTTTAAACGAAACGAAACGAAACGAAAAAAAAAGAAAAACCAGAGAGTTATTTTAAAATTTAATTTTTATAAATATTTACGGTCGACATGAAAATTTTATTGCTCCCGGAAAAAAAAAAAAAAGGAAAAAAAAAAAACAAAAATTTTAAAAAGTTTGTGCGAAAAAAAAACGATACGAAACGACGATACTGTAAAAGACAGCATTTTTTAAAAAATTTAAATTTTGTTTTTTATTCCCTTTTGATAAAGTAAAAAAATTGTGTTGCCTGTTTGTTTGTTTGTTTGTTTGTTTTATTATGTTTGAACTCTTTGGGTTTTTTTTTGTACGACACAAATACGAAAAAAAAATCACGTCATAAACTTTTCTCATTCGAAAACAAACATTGAGTACATTAATAATAATCTATATTATTATTATTATTATTATTATTATTATTTTCTTATTGCGAAAATGTTTTCCCTCAAACTCAAATCCTATGACTATGAATCAAATTCAAAAAAAAAAAATGAAATTTTCTCAAAGTTTCCGCGAGCGACATTTTTTATAAATACATACAATGCGTAATCCGTGTGTTTGTCTTTTCTTTTTTTATCATCGCGTTGACTCACTCACCCCTAAATAATTTTTTAAAAATAATCCTTCGTTGATTTTTTTGTCATCCATTTCGTATTAGAATCGCGTTTATTTTCATTACGATCAATACACGCACGTACGCACTCAGACACACACTCGCGCGAATTAACGATTCATGACGAGTTTTCAAAATATCACCATATATTATCAGCACATCGACTCGATTCTTAATAACAATAAAAACTATTACTATTATTAATAATAATTAAAAAAACTGATCACGTTATTTAACGTGTCCGCCGCATCCGACAGACAAAAAAAACCTCCTTGCACAAAAAAAAAAAAAAAAAAAAAAAAAAACCAGACGCCAGGCTGCCAACATGCAAACGGAACTGACTACTACAGTTGCGACGACGATGTTTCAACAGAATTCATTGTTTACATACGCGTAACACGGAACTATGTGATTTTTTTTTTCCTTCCTTTTTTCATTTATTTGTTTGTTTGTTTGTTTGTTGTTGTTTAATTTTTTATTCACGTTTTCAATGACCAACAATGCAACAACAAACCAACATTTTGTTTTTGTTTTTTTTCTTTTCAATTACTTCTTTATATTTAGGTTAAATAAAAAAAAAAAAAAATGCAACTTATAATAGACGAAACGAACCGTACGTGTGTGTGTGTGTGTGCGCGTCTTTTTTATTTTCCCACTTCCTTCCCCCCACCCCTCACATTATCCTTTCTATTTTTCTCCTACAATAAATTTTCAAAGAGAAAAAAAAAAAAGAAAATTAGAGAAAGGGGCTATCGTTATTTTAATTGCTTATGTGCCCCCGTACACCTAAAAATTATTATTATTATCATTATCACAATGAACCATCCTAATTTTTTTTATCATCATCATCATTATCATCATCATAATACTTTCAGGTATCAGCGAGGTTAATTAGACGTCGCTGAATTAGAAAAAAAAAAAAAAAAAAATGTTTTTCGTCATTAACCTTTGTTATTAATATTAATTAATAATAAATCTCATCATTCCTGAAAAAATAATAATAATAATAATTTCTACACACATAACGGAAATAAAATAAATAAATAAATAAAATAAAAAAATAAAATCGCGAATAATAATATTATGACGTCACGAAAAAAAAAAAAAAAAAAATTTTCAAAATGTCATTTATATTAGTAATGAAGATGAAAATAAAGAAATTTCCCTATCTCTCCCCCCTTCCCCTTCCCCCCTCCGTAACTTTACAAATTTTACACATTTATTATTTTTGTACTTTTACGAAAAAAAAAATGTTTTATTCACGGTGAACGGTTTTAAATGAATGAAATTATCGTGTTTTTTTTTTTTTTTCAAAAAAGAACCAATGAATGAATGAATGAATGAATGAATTTTTTAAAATGTGTGAAAACAAAAAAAAAAAAACCCATTAAATTTGGCGCCTTTTTAATTTTCTTTCTTATTTATTATTATTCCTCGATACCTGCTGGCTGCGTCCTTTCGTAAATTCTGATTTTTTTTTACGAAATTCTATTTAAAAGAAAAAAGAAAAAAACGACAGCAAAAAATGTCTTCGTCCTCATCATCTTCTGCTTCTTCTTCTTCTTTTCGGTTTTCATTTAATCCAAAATAAAATATAATTTAGTTGACGAATCACGAACGTGGTGTGGCAACGCCTAAGACGCGATAATTTTTTTTCGAAAAAAAAAACTTGACATACATATTAATAAATGGAAAAGAAAAGAAAATTTTTTTTTTGTGCCTGAATTCGATTTTTCTTGTTATTAACGACCAATGAAATCTCATAATCGTTAACATTGACATTAAATCATTTTTTTTTTTTTTTATTTACATTCAGGCTGACGACGGTATCACCTTGTTTGTTTTGTCTAATGCCCCATTCGCACATTATCATTATCATTATCATTATTTTTTTTTTTTAGCCAAAGGAATTTAAAAAATTTAATTTTTTTTGATTTTCGAGAAGGTTAAAATCAATAAATAATGCCACGTGATGATGATAACAACAACAACAACAACAACAACAACGACGACGACAACAACGACGACAACAACAACGACAACAATTCAAAACGACATTTAACTTGTCGAATTATCAACTTTTTGTCGAAAAATACCTCACGACGGACGCCGCTGACGCAAAATTATCGATTTATACCTAAATAAAACTAAGGAATTCATATTAATAATAATAATAATAATAAAACTATCGAATTTCGATTTAAACAATAATTCGATACTTTTCAAGGAGAGAGAGAGAGAGAAAGAGAGAGAAAAATCGAAACGAAAAAATCGATTTAAGCACAAAAACAAAACAAAAAAGTATCAATCGTCGGTTTATGAATACGCGCACACACCACGCACACATACAAAATCCTCAACCAAATATTTAAGAAAAATAATAATAATAATAATAATAAATTAAAAAAAACCGATCGGGTCCTCGAATGAAATTTAAAAAACAATTTTTTTATTTATTTAAATGATGATATTTTATTTTTCGTTCTCTTCGCTCGCCATTTCAATGACCCTTGAAGAATAAAATATATAATTTTTAATATTCGTAATGATAATGATAATAAT